CACCACTTGTTTTATCACTCTAATACCAGCACCATACCACACTCATATGATCAAATATAAAACATACATGGTGGTATGGGAGTCATCAGCAATTATACCACAACTACCCCAAAATCTGTATTTCCCTAAGCATTTTTGATCATGTTCTTACCTCATTGCTAATAACCACCATCCTGCAAAAACAGATATTAGAAGAAATTCAATTTATTGCTGCTTCTCAACTCAACAAATACATGATTAGTTTTCTATTTTGCTAGTCAATCTAAGAAGGCAAAACTGCAATGGTAATACTGTGCCATGCTAATACAGCACTTCATACTTTCTGAGATTCTCCTGACTTGGTCTAAGAAAATATGGCTGGTCCACGCCAATATCAGCTTTGGGTGCCCAAAATAGAAAGACTGGTCTTACACATTTTCTGTCAACCCTTTCCCCTTCATGTCATGCAAGTCAAGGGACTATTCCTCCACAGGGGAATCTATAACTGATGGTTCTTCAACAGCCCTAGATTCCTCTCCCTCACTAACAATCCTGTTTGCCCATTCTGACTGCGGGAACTTTCTTTGTAATTCAATCAGATGGGATCTTTCCCCCCCAAGGTGCTGAACAGCCCCAGCTCTTCCTCACATAGTGATCTTTAGTACTTTGTATTTTTACTGTTCCATTATCAAATAAGTATATGAGATGTTCTAAATAGTTCTAATAAAAGTAACAGAATAGGATTCTGAGACAAGATGAACCTATGACACGAATAACAGGACACAAAATAATAATCCAGGTCAATCACCATTGTTCAAAAGTATTTTTGAAAATAAAATACCTTCTATTTCCCATCCAAATATGCAATAGTAAGTCCTTTAAAACGAAGGGACAAAGAGTAACCCAACAACTGAGAGGGAAACTAAGTCAATCCAAGGAATAATTTAAAAAAAAGTTATTTAACAACCATTTCCTAAAAAGCTTTTATTTTATGATTACTCGTTAACCCTAAGAGTTAATCTCAACTGTTTAAAATTGGCTTAATTTCATGTTTAGTAAACTGAAGGTGTTTGCAAATGATTTTATGCTACTTTTGTGCAAGTCTCCTGTTAAATCCAGTCACATAAACGCTGGACGATTTTTAAAGCCACATTTCCTTTTCATATTATGAGCACAGAATTATTCTTCTTACATACAACTATAAAAAGCACACCAGGAAAATTATAACATATAGTCTCCTGGCGTGCTAGCTTGCTATTTGTAAGCACAGACTTGATGAACTAATTGCAAATTCCAAGATTTAAACAATTTAATGAATGGTATTCTAAATCTGGGCTTTCGGTGCTAACATGAGTAATTTAAAGACTAAGCTTCAAACTATGTTCTTATGTATGCTGCAAGTAACAACGGAACTTTGTAAGCATTGCCTCTTTGGTATAAATGAATTTGAATCTGGTTTTACACCATGAACATAGGTGGAGGTTCTTTTGACAGCACTGGGCATTGCTGAAGTTTGAGGTTAGAAAAATATTTTAAGATAGAGACGCTAATTAAAAGAACATCATCAATTTAAAACAAATAATTATGCAGCCCAGCATCCTGATTAGGGTCACAGGCACTGGACCTATTTCAGGAAAGCACTACTAGAATGTTTACGTGCCATTACAGCTTGTGACAGAAGCCCATTATCAACCTGATCCTAGCCTAAATTGTGGCTGTTGATGGATGCTGTGAGATGTTTTATGACTAGCCAGGTTTTTTGCTAGGCCAGTTTTTCACCATCCTGGTAAATTTATCAGTTTATCGCAGGATCAAATGATGACTGGAGCCAATGCAAAGCAACATGGCTGGATGTAAAGGAGGTTGTGACTTCACAAATCTTAAGTCAGAACAGGAACCAAGAAGACTGAGACTTTTCTGATCACAGTTCTGAAGGATAGACAGGCAAACAGAAACACTGCAAGGCAAAGTATGCAAAACTGGAGTGGGACCAGATTTCAGCATTCGTGGTGGCCTCTTCTGACAGCCTCACCCACTATCGTTATTCAGACTGGCCGTGCCTAGACAGATCACATAGAGTATATTATTATCAAGTAGCCCAGAAAGCTGTGTATTATCAGGAAGTATAAGATTAGAAAATCCTGTTAAATCCAAACTAAGATGGAAAAAAATTCAGATGTATTTGAGAAAGCGATGGCCACAAGTTAAACTCATGCTGGTCAAAGTAGGTATAAATGTAAAGTTAGAGGTTCTCCTTTAACTTGTTGATGCATTTACTCTGGAAAGAACAAGATAAACCAAGATGAAGCAAATAATGCAATTATGCCCTTAAACAATCTTAGTATCTTACATCCTTCTAGTAACATTTGCTAATTGAGAGCTGGATAGCAGGACTGGTGCTATTATTATTCTGCTACTATTCTACTGCTCTTAAATTGCTTTGTCAGACTTCCCGTCACTTGAGACAAGTTCCATTGTAAGAGACATTAGGTGTATTTAGGTATTTGCCAGATAATAGAGTAAGGTTCTTAGGCATCAATCTGTACAGATTAGTCTAATCTGTTGCTGCTGGAAACCTTGTTTCCAGCAGTAAAGGAGACAATAGTTTCAAATTACCTGCAGTAAGGTTAAACAATGGGCAATATATGTTTTGAGGTGAGAAGAAAAACAAAATAGAACTCATGCATTCCAAATATTGTCTTTACCTTTACCAGATCAGGCAGGTATCCGAATTGAGATTCCAATTTCTCTAAAAACTATTCCTAATGGATTTGGTTCCATGTAAATTGCTTTATTTGTGAATGTTCTCTTAATTATATTTGAATGAAGGATACAAGAGAAGCTTAGTTAGTACTGTTATTTCCTGAATCCAACAAAGCAAGAATAATTAACATTTTAATATTGGATAAGTTTGATATTTTCACACTAAAATTGGATTTCCAGGAGCAAAGTCAAACAATTCAAGATTTAAGGATTCTATAAAAATGAAGACAATGAGCTCAGAACGTTAAAGACAGAAAATGGCAAATACCTGTAATCTGGTTCTAAAGTAATGCAGCTTTTCAGTAATATTTTTCAGAAAACATATAGAAGTTTTTTGTTTAAATTCTTATATCTCAACCTATCATTCAAAGTATCAACTAAGAACTTAAGTTAGATCATCCCTTCCTTTAGCTTTTTCTAATACGAGTCAACATACAATTAAGTTTTTTCTATTACCCCTTTTTCTCAAACTTACCTTTCATTCTACAGGGCAGCAGATACTATGGATACAAGCATCAAGAAATTAAGAGCAATACTTGGCTTGTCCATGATATAACAAGTATGAGGTTATCTTGTAAAATCCTAAACTAACTGCATTTTGAAATGCCTTGTAAACATTCAGCAAAGCTACATTAAATCATCCATTGAAACAACTGAAATGTAGAGAGATGTCCTGAGAAAGAATACAAACTGAAAGAAAAGCAGAATGTGTTATAAGAGATGTAGAAATCAAAAAATGTCTGGAAGCAGTAGACAGGTCTTTAAAATTTTTAAGTTACCTCTTCTTCAGAATATATTGCATGGAAAGTAACATGCCAGAAAAAAAAAAAAAAAAAAAACGAACTGTTATTTTATTATTATAAAACAAGAAAGCACAAGTAAAGAATCATCTAACTGTATTTGCACTACTGAAACACAAAAATCTATGGATTTGTTTTTTTCCCCTTTTTTGCTATTTACATTTAGCTTGTATTAACAATGACACTGACCTCTATGTCCTCCATGTCTTAACTGGCTTCGTAGTAGCTGAATGTCAGATTGAATGAGCCTGGTGGCTAAGGTAAGTAGATTGAAGACTTTGGCTCAAGTTCTTCCTCCAGAGAACATCAAAGTACTTTGCATACAGCAAAACTGTTTCCACAAGAAATGTGGAAACCAACCTCATCACTCAGTAGGTAGGCATTCCTTCAGTGTGGGATAGTTAGTCTGAGATCTACACTCTGAATTAGATAAAATCAACCTGAATGTTATAAGCACTCACATAATTTCTTCTCCCTAGTTTTCATAATTTTTCCCTGTGTTCTTTTTTTTTGAAAGTCAGATTAAATGATACAGTCCAGATGTTTTTGACTACTGTAAATACAGTTTTGGTTCAAAATAAAACTTTTTTTTTTTCACATCAGCCAAGTGGGAAAACCCAATTAGCAAAGCTTTATGTCTAAATTCTTTGGGATTTACTGGTTTATTTTAATTTACAGATTGAAATATCATTTAAAGTCAGTGCTTCTGCTGAACCATGAGCCTAACACAAAACAATTTTTTGTATATACAGCTGGGCCCATGTAGAATGTATCTCTAGTAAGAAACACAGGCTGAAGCCTCACTGAAGAACACCAACACCTCAAGTAAGTCCTTAAAGCTCTGCTGAACAAGCAACAGTGTAAACCCATACTTACAATGTTTTCCTACATCATGGCCCTGAAGAGTTGTGATTTTTCACATAAGGCTCTCCTTATGCATATTGACTTCTGGCTGAATACCAAGTATAAGGATAACTTACACGTTCTGTTTGATAAAAATGAATTCAACACCCTAAAATTAATGGCAGTGATCTGGATATCTGGTCTGGTCCCAACTGATTTGATCCTGTGAAATGCTGCATTCCGTCATTAAAAGATAATAGGGCAACTTCTATAACTGGAACACTTACACTGACAAGAGAGGAGATATCCAAGTTTAAGTATTAAACAGACAAATATCCCAAATTAATTATTATATAAAAAAGATCATAATTTTCAGCTTTTTTTACCAAACAATTGTTCAAACTCTAAAGTCAGTTGAATACTAGTCCTTCTATTTGAGATACCTTTTTCTAAAAAATATGTTCTTTATGAAAACTATCATACTCTTTGTAAATAACCTATTTAAACGCCAATGAAACGCACAATCTTTTTCAGGTAGCAAAATCTATTTTGCATATTGTGTATTTCAGACTTTAAACAGAATTTTTTAAAACCATGAAGTTAAGTTGTCTTCAGTTAAGCTGCAGTAATTCACAGTAGCTGAAAATCTTCTGCAACCTAGGGTTTGGATTTTTTTTAAGCTGCAGAAATATCTAAACTTTTCTGAAAATATTTATTAAAATATATAGGAAAAGTTCACTTCTTCCACAAAAAGTAGTTTATAATAATATTTCAAGTATTTACAGTTTATTTGAATGAAAATTATAATAAACTTTCAAATCTGGGGATAAAATAATAATTAATATATCATCATTACTTAAAACAAGTTATGAAAATTTCAATAAGTCTTCGGGTTCTATTGTAGTACCATAACAGCAAACCATCCTTTCTACTCTAGCAGGCTGGAGGTGAAAGTATTTTTCACCATTAGAAACTGAGATTCTCGGTGTGATCTTTTCAGCTTTGCACGACGGTTCTGGAACCAGATCTAAAATTGAAAGAAAAGGCATGCTTTTCAGAAATACAGCACTGCAAGCAGAATAAGCTTTGAAACTTAAAAATATTCACACAACTTCACAGTATTTTGTGTAATGACTGTAGTTTGGAAGTTCAATACTACATTTAAAATCTGTAGATGGTGCCATGTAGCTACCTGCAATAATTTTAACACCACAGACGAAAATAATACCCCAACTTAACTGTAAAATGAGGACCAGCTTCACTGTAATTAATATAAAAATTAATATTAACTTCAGTGACACTGAATCAGACCCTGGAAAATCCTGAGCACATGGAATTCACACACAAGTATTTAGGTGTCATTTCTTCACCTGCTCACTTAATCACATCATCAAACTTCCCATCAACCCCAATATAATACTTTCATCAAAAGCTTAATGAACATCAAGGTGAAGCCCAAAATCTACTGTCTATGGTATGCTTCTTATCACATTGAACTACTTGGAAATCACTAATTAAAGTCCCTGAGTAGAATCTGCCTTTGGCCAGATGAAGACACAGGCTCAAACACTGGTTTAACATATGCATGCTCTACTGATAGTCTCACAAAATAATTAGACATTCATACAAATTATTTCAGTATTTGTTTCAAATTTGTTTTTCAGATATGGTGACAAGCATAATATAAGCATGACTTTAAAATGTGGAAGCAAATATCAAGTTCTGCACATGATAACTAGAGATTAACAGGGCAGATATGGAAATACTACAGTGATGAATACCTCATCAGCGGGATGGAAGAAGGTTTAAGATTTCAGAAGGAATTCAAAGGCTTCCACTTCAAAAATCATTGAAGGCATACCACGTGTATAAATGTACATTGTTTTAAATTGAAATTATTAGAATTATTGCTACTGCTGTAAAACTACTTACTTATATAACCAGAGTATATATAGATGGAATTACAGAAAAGTTCAAATAAATTTTTAATTACCTGGATCCTGTCTTCATCTAAATCTAATTTGCTAGCTAGTTCTTCTCTAATATCAATGCCAGGGTAGGAGTTCACTTTAAAAACATTTTCCAGAATTTCAATCTGAGGAGATTAAAACACACTTGTTGGATAGTTAATCACTACCTTCATAGCAGTAACAAAGAAAATAAATATAAAAAACAGTTTAGTTTGTTCAACAGGAGACTTCCAAGCAGTGTTTGCAGAATTCTGATTCCATGCATAAACACCGGTCTGCTGAAATTAGTAAAATGACTGTTAATTTACACTAGTTCCTGATTACCTTTCTCTCTGCAGAGGTACATGATACTGAATTACTCAGCTGTTATAGGCTTCTACCAACATTTTGCTAAACCACATCCTTATTCATTTATTAAATACTGAGAAAATCCCTACCTGGTTTCTAGTGAATGCAGTTCTTGGTCTTCTGCCCCTGTACCAGCTCAATTCTCGTTTGAAAGATAGCCTCTCAGTGACTGAAAAATATTTTTCACATTTCAAAACTTTTTCCTCTTGCACTGGATTACCGTTAGCACAAAATAATGGATTTTCATAGCAAACAACAGGGATTTGCAGATGGGGATTACTGTCGTCACCTAAAACTAGAAAAAGCAAGGAAATGAGAGCTTCAATTAACTGGTTTTCAGTAGAAACATGAAAATACATAAATTTTTAAAGGAGTAAAAACTTGCCCAAGTTGGTGCATGCATCCATCCATGGTCTGTGAGGCTTCACAGCTGGAATGACATCTTTTTTCTGCTCCAGTCCCAAAATACTTTCAATGGAAAACGAGCACTGTGTGGTTTTATTTTCTACAAAACCAGACACTGTACGAAGATTCTGAGATGCTGATGTACTAGCAGCACATAGCGATGTACTTGCCATGCTTTCACCTCCAGCCAGCACTGCATGTACACTGTACTTGCGTTTCTCCACAAGTCCTCCTTATAGATATGTTGACAAGGGGGTTGGATTTGCAACGTCATTAATTAAAATCTTTTATTAGAAAGTTTTAGCATGTCAATGAAAACTCTCCCACCAAGAGGCACGAGGAGTTAATTGTTTATTTGTTTGCAAGTAATTAGCAACTAATGGTGACACTAGGGGGGCCACCAAGAGGGACAAAAAGTGTTATCTCTCCTAACCAGAACATCGACTTAACTTTCTCAAAAGAAGCCGTGCACAAATATAGTACTTCTCTTTTATTTGAAATCATTAATGTATAAAATCAGTTTTTTTAAAAACTTTATACTCTAATGGACTCCACTTACCTAAACATAGCAGCATGATAGGAAACCAGTCAAGTAATAAGTAATCTCATTTAAGTGAATTTCCTTCCAAGGAAATTTAAAAAATAATCTCTTAATGCTATTAGGGTAATCCCGATGAAAATGCTTCTGTTTTTTCATATGCATATGTAATGGTGAACGTGGTCAATAAAACAACAATAGTTTTTGGCATAAGGCACTGTGCATTGGGTTGGCAATGTTGTCAAAGCTCAGTGTAATTGCCTTCCAAGTGCCTGGATTAGTTAACAGGAACAGTTGCACCAACTATTTTAAATAATTCATGCATTAATTTTTCTTATTAAAATAACTTTGGTGCAGCTTTTTTGAAACATACCATATGTGAAATTTCCTGATATTTCTTACAATTTACAGTCCAAACTGAAAGTAACAGAAGCATTACACTTGAATTTACTGGTTTAAAAACAGCCTTCTACTGCTAGATATTCCTCCCTTCTTGTAGGTTTACAGGCAATATAGAATTTATTTAAATCCTACAGAGTCAACACTTAAAATGGCCAAAAATCATGAGTAATGGGGAAAAAGGAAGTAAAGGTTTTCAAATGAAGTTCAAAGATTGAAAACAGAATTCTGATTTCATTCATTATAAAGAAAATACTGACTATAACATTTTTATATTCAACCTCATCTGTCAGCTACACAGCAGTTTACATGTCACATGTTCCAGCTTTTGGTTCAGGATAACCTTTCTACAGAGCTTCCTCCTTTTCTTATTTTGGACAAAGCTTTATTTGTTAACATGCAAAAATGAAAACAGTATTTTAGTTTCAGGATGCAAACGTTACCCCTCTTATATAAAACTTTTAATTTGGAGCACATGATGTAGGAGCACATAGGACTATACTTTCAGAGGAAAAATCTGGCCCTCTATTTTTTCTTGTTTTGCCATTTTCTTTAAGTAGTTTATTCTGTATAATCAATCATATTCACATGGCTAACAGCTAATATTATGGAAATAAACAGTACCTCCACTTTGATTTTCTGTACATTTGTGAACAACTCAACATTAATGTTTTTGAACAGACAGATTCAGGAAAACTCTTAAGGAAATGGCATAGTCTAGAATTGATAACACTGTGCTGAGGCAGATTCTACAGAGAAAAATGCAAACCATATGTGGCTTTATATCAGAAAGACATTCAGCTGAAGAATGTTGACTTACTGGCCTGACTGTGTTGTGCAATGAGATTGCTGTCAAACCAAACTACCAAAAAGAGTGACAATTTAAGAATTTAACTTACCAAGGACACCTTATCAGCATGCATCAGTGAATCCTGAAGAGGCATCAATGTAACTGCAATGACCACCTGGAAGCCAAGTGCCAACCATCATTTAACAGCCTCAGCAACCATGAAGTGTAGACATAAAAAAAAAAGCCATAAGGACCTATGAATGAAACCACTGCTTGCTGGAATATTTGGTGAACTAGAGGTGAGTGGGATACAGTGTTAAACAAAGGCCTTGCAGCCCTTTATGTTTCAGTACAGCTGTTCCCAACAGGGCAACCTGTGACCTTAACAAAGCAAGAGGACTCCTTTTCTTGACTGTTACTTTGAGTATTCAGATTGCACACCAGCACCAGAGGTTAATAAAGAGATAATGCAAAGCAGTGATTCGTAGATCAGCTTTTTGCCTCTACAGTCTCTACATGCAACAAGTTTGTTTTTTTTTTAAATTGCCACAAAACTCATTAAGTCAAAACCAAAACAGTACATCTCCTCCTGTATTGAACTTGGAGCTGGTTAATAATTTCTCTATCCCAAAGAGGTGAAAAGCAGGATCACTAATAGACAGCCTCCTGAATCCAGAAACTAAGGTGGACTTCAATAATACAAAAAAATCTCTTAATGCTTGTAATATAAACAGCTAGTTTCCAAATACAGCCCACTGATTTTTTTTAAAGAACTTAAAAATACCAACACAAGCACTGATACAATACACATTTCAGAAAATATTTATTTCTCCTGGACAAATATTAATGAAATTCACCTGGGCCACGCAGTTGAGACTCGGATTGCCACATACTTCAAGTCCCAAAGTGGTAAATACCTTCATAGGTATTCTCTTCAGGAAGCTATCAAGAAGTATCCATAAAGACAGGCATATGTGGTGGCAAGACATTTACAAGAGCCACATATCTTCCCAAAGCTAACCATTAAGTAAACCAAGTAATGATAACATATTTTTGATCTCTCTGAGAAGATGGAAAAAATTTCTTCAGGGTGGTCTGCTTTTAACTTCCAGTTGGAAACACTCATTCTTTTAGAGTTTTTAAATGACTTTTCAGGGAAAAGAGATTGAATTTTCATAAAATAGGCCAAAACCAGTTAACTCATTCCCTGGGCACAGGTCAGAGGCTCACCAAATAGTGCCATCTGGTGTTACGGCTTGCCCAGCTGTAAATTCATTCAGCAATGTTATCTGAGTAAGAAACTGTGTTATTATTCCAATTATCATATTGCATTCATTTGCTCAATGTTGAATTGAATCAGACCTGGAGACTGTCGTGCAGTCACCGAAACAGATCAATACTCTTGTTTTTAAGCAGAGTTCATGGCTGCAACCACACACAGCAACAGGAAGTACCAATTCAGAAGGTCACAAGGTAGAAGCTCACGCTATGCTCCCTAATTTCTGAGAAATTCAGTGAAACTGAAACATATCTAAGAGTCCTTCATAATGGTAATGCAAATACATTTTCCACAGGGTAATGCAATAAAAATTTCACAAGAGAAGAGAAATTATTCTAAAGATAAGTTTACATTATGCAAAATTCCATTCTACATCTGGAAGTGTCTAAGGTCAGGCTGGATGGGGCTTTGGACAATCTTATACAGTGAAAAATGTCCCAAAGGGGGTTTGGAACTAGATGATCTTTAAAGGGCCCTCCCAACCCAAACCCTTCTGTGATTCTAAAACATATATGTAGAGATGAATCTAACTGGAAAGTCAGGCTGAAGGTCTAACCTTCAAATGTTGATAGATTTCTTTGAAGAGAAGTTTGCTTAGTTACAGAAGAAAGCTATTTGTTATCAGGATAAACAGTCAACAAACCTATCCGTAAGAAATTAAGATGCAAATACATTTTCCACAGGGCAGAAAACTTAAAAAGTTTTAGATCCAAGAATATCTGGTAGTAAAGAACCGTATTAAATTTCAAGGAATTTTCACTGAAAGCATAAACACCATGAGCCTTCACTCAGAAACTACATTTAATTATTTTGGCCCATTAGAAATGATCAATACTTCCCTTGCATCCCATATGAAATTGCGTATAGAGTTTTAGCTAAATACCATTGTAGTGGCGATTAGGGCAACACAAAAACCATGAAGTTGAAAATCCTAAGTAATCAATAATAGGAGAAATCACTGCTCTTTGGATATGTAAATCCAATCCTTTTACAGCATCACAGACTTGATGAGGCAGCAAACTAATCTCCCTTTCAGATTTTGCACCACTGTTTTTTGTTCAAGGACAGCAGAATTCATCTGTTTAGTAGATGAAGCTCTCGCTCTTTAGAGATGTGAAGCCTCTAAGCACTCTGTTTATACCAGCTGAAGAGACCACACCAAGAGTTCTTGGTGGCTTTGGTCTGAGACCCCAAATACTTACTGTTGCTTCCTTTTGCTATTCTTACCCATTGCTACTCCACTGCTGGGTCACCTTTCACAATAGCCTGTGCAATATTTTCAGCTTTTTAAAAAGGTACAAATGGTATATATAATCTTTCTTGATTACTTATCACACTCAAAAAAATTGCCTTTCGTCTCACCTTTCCCACAGTTTCTTTACAGCACTGCACCACTATTTCACCACCTCAGATATTCTGTTGCATATAGCTCCCTTTCAAATATGTTTTGGATATGAATAACAAAGATTATATTAAAATCCAACTTCAAAACTCAAAAGGTTTTTTTAGGCAAGAATACCTCAAAACTGCTAGCAGCAATTTTCACAAAACATGACTAAAACCAGTTAGCTACTTCTTGGCTGAGGTAAAATCTATTTTGACCCAGGGAGATTAAGTGAATACAGATAAATTCAAGGTAAATCCAAGGGTGGCACTAGCAAAAGTCTGAGAAACAGTGTGTTAAACAGTGGGTAACATGCAAATAAAGCCTACCTTATCCAGACAGCTACTTTCACCCTCCTGCAGAGGCAAAATGTTCTCTCCATTAAGAAACACATCTGGAATGCTCTAAAAAGCCGTTGGCTCTCTTCTCCCTGTTTACATAGTGCCAAGTGTTAGTTCCCCATATTTTTAAGGCCTCTTAGTAAGTATTCTGCAGAAAGAAAAAAAACCCCAAAGCTCACAAATCTGAAAACCCAAACAAAAAAAATCACACACTAATGAAAGACTACAATGACAAAAAATTGTAACATTAAAAACACAGTTATGAAAGAGTTCAGAGAAATTTTTCAATTCATTACTAACAAATCTCATCTGTTGCTGTCACACTCGTACCTCAAATAAAACTTGTGGATGTCTTGTAACATTTGTAAAAAATGTACACAAAACGTAAAAACAAGACTAGTAATACCTTACAGAGTGTTTCAACATAAGAGATCTATTAAAAAAAGCTGACTACTAATTCAAAGAACCCCTGGTTATACTACAAAAGTATTAGAAAGCCCCCCTCTTGCACTAAACCAAACAATCATTAAACTGAATTGCTAAAATCTACAGGAGGAAGACACATTTTTATGCTACATGCCAGCTGAGATACCAAGGCACATTTCTACATATTAAAGATACATTTGTTAGTGTTTTGTTTTTTCTTCTACAAAACACTTAATTCTCAAAGAGCTGTTCTCTATTCAGAGCAGGTAAAGAAATGTTTTTTTCCTCTGCCACTTACAGCTGTAAATATACAAAGCTAACTAAAATCAATTCTGTTTAAAGTTACCAACTTCCTAAATTCTGCTAGAGAAATACATTCTACAGTACAAAACAGAGAACATTTCTTACAGAAGGCCACTGTATGTCAGTCACAAGTTAACTGATCTCAAAACCTGAAAGCTATGCACATACACATAGGTCATGAACCAACGCTAGTGTTCTGTCCCATAACAATTACAGATGCAAGACCTGGTCTTTAAAATACCTGCTGAGGTAACTGTTATTACCCACATATGACAGGGAAAGAAAGAAGTGGTGTGACTTGCTTTAGTCAGGTGAGTCATCAGCTGAGCTGGTAACTTTGAAATTTCACCATTCCCTACAAAAAAAAATCCCAAAACAAACCACTACCACACACATACCTCAAAAATCTTTAATTGTTTGTAATTTAATAGCAGCCTTTATCTGCTTTTAAAAGTAAAACATGATCTGATACAACATAAAGCAAGGACTCCATAGCAAGACTGTACAATAGTTAATCATTTGCTCTGCTGGATGACTTTGTGTACTTTCTACTCTAGTTTTATACTAAGTTCACCTGGCCCCAAAAAAGCAAAACTGGCAAGGGAACAGCCCTCTTCTTTAAAAAACAAAACAAACCCCACAACCCTCTAATAATAAAAGTATCTAAAAAGTTACTGATCATCTATTAAAATGCAGAAATGAAATATCAAGTAATTTCAGAGTGGAACCAGTTTGCAAATTCAAAGATGATATACAATTTGGTTTTGCTTTAGTTTTAAGAGAATTTTATGCAGCCTCCCGTTTGACATACAGTATATTTTAATGTTTTTAAATTAATGGAAATTTAGATGGATATTCTTGATGAAGCAATCTGTACATACTCAACACCTCCTAAGAGACCTACTCTTAAACTATGAATTGCTTAACCTGCAGGAATAATTTAAAGTACAATAACTTCAGTGAAAACATACTAATCACAGAGGCCAATTCAATAAGCTCTTTTTAAAACAGTGCACAATGATCTAGTTCAATTCCAGCAAGCCACCACAATAGTTTCAAGCTTTTAAAATTAGCCACCAACTTCCAGCACCAAGCTTATCCCGTCGAAGAAAGCAGGGAGTCCATTAGAACTGATTATACTCTTGGTTCTGAAGTGGAAAAACTATGGTCAGCAATGTTGGGGTTTTTTAAGACACGAGGCCCTCAGATGAAGCTATCACACGGTAACAAAAAATACTAGCTACTTAGGGATAGACATACATTCTTGATAAAAGCCCTGGTAGATGGTGGAGAAAGACATGACAGGGATAAAAGATGATTTCTCAAAGGGGGCGCTCCAGGTAACATCAAAAGAGTGCAAAGATGCTTCCATCATGACAGGGACACAACAGCAATAGTCTCACTGTGGCTGTGCCCCCAAGTTAACTGTCTGTTCTGAGAAGACAGAAGTCTCCAGAACAAAGACTAACACGGCTGGGACGACATACTGATGTGCAACACGGAGCACGTAACTACAAACACAAAAAGGGGAAAAAAAAAAAAAAAAAAGTTTCCTTGCTTTTTCCTGACAACCTCGCTTGACAACCACGGCCTGTCCGCGGCACCGCTGCACAAACACCTCAGCGTGGAAAGGTCCCTTGCTGTCTCCGCACCCCACTCACCTCCCCGAGCCGGGGCCGGCCCCACGCAGTGGGTGAGGGGCGCTCTCCCGAGGAGCGGGAGCCGACCTGGCCGCCAAAAGGCGCCTCTTTGCCGTCCCGCCATGGGCACCGGGGGGGGAGGCGGCGGCGGCGGGTCGCGCCGTCTCTCCTCCGCTGAGGGAGGGAGCGTGCGCGGGGCGGGCGGCGCGAGCGGAGCGGAGCAGCACATCCGCGCGCCCACGCACAGACGCGACGCGACGCTCCCCCCCCGCGCCAGCAGCCCCACGCGCGCGTGACAGGCGAACAGATCCACACGCTCACCAATAACAAACTGGGCAGGCTGAGTGGAAGAGCCAATAAGGAGACCAAGCGGGCGGTGGGGCGGGACATCCGTCGTGAAGTGGGGCGGGGGGCGCTTGTGCTGTGGCCGGGGCGGAGGGGAGCGGCAGCGGCGCAGGGTCAGCCTCGGCGGCCGCCATGCCCGGCATCGACAAGCTCCCCATCGAGGAGACGCTGGAAGACAGTCCCCAGGTAAGAGAGGCGAGACGCAGCCCGGTGGATGGAGGCCAGTCGGGCCCAAGCCGTGGGCGCCGGGCCTAAGGCGGCTTCTCGCCCGCTTTCTCCCGCCGTGTTGCCTCGGGCGGTGTTGGAGAGCCGCGGTGGCGGGGGGGGGGGGGGGGGAAGCTCTCCGCGGCAGCGGCGCCGGGACGCTGCGCGCGCGGCCGGGTGTCTTCCTCTCCTCACCCCTGTGGCGGGGCAGCGGCTTGGGGCAGCAGCGGCGGCGCTTGGGCTGTCAGCTCGGTCCCCGCGGCTGCTCCTTCCCGTTCGCCGGTTCTCCCTGGCCGTCCTGCGGGCTCCCGAGCTGTTCCTGGCGCGCCGAGCTCGGTAACGCTTTTCCAGAGGCGCTGGTCCTTCAGCGGCGGGTGGCAGGGTAGCAGCTTGCATTGGCTGCCTTGCTGCCCCACCCCCACGTTTGCCTCCATGGTTTATTTTGGAGACCTCGTGGTCATAAAACCCGTCATCACGTCTCAAGTCAATTTTTCTTATTTTTGTCTTTTATTAAAAACTCATTAAGGTTTAATAGATACGGATGAGAAGCAGTTAGTGGGTGCGGTTATCGTGGCGGTTGTTAATGCTCTGAGTAGGTGAGAAGCACACGGTGCTGAGAGGCTTGAATTGCTCGGGTATCTTCACTTCCATTTCTGCTGCTTGACCTTTGTCAGAGATGCCGTGTATTGCATTGGCATTTCTTTAATACTACTAATATGCAGGAAGTGCTTTATTCAATTGCTCTCGTTGATGCCAGCAATAGAAATCAGTGTAAGTATCTTTTATTGCTCTTCTGAGGTGAAAAAAAAAAAAGTTTATAAAATATATATTTTTTTTTTATTGCAGCCTTTTGAATTACAGCCCTTGTTTTGCTGCACTGTTTGTGTAGATGAGTAAGTCTTCCTATGTTGTAATAGCATATGCATTGGTAGTTTTGATTCATCAACCATACGAAGAAAACCTTTGACTTGCTTAATAAGGAATTTTAACCCCTAAAGTTACAACCATTTTAACAAATCTACATTACGTCGAGGGATGGCTTAGAAAAGGCGACAGAAAAAGGCCCTGCAGGCAGGGTATCATTGCGTTGTGAAGGAGAGTACCTATATAGCTCACATACTAGATGTTAGATGAGAGCTAGCCTGTAGTACGGTCTCTGTCCCAGAGAGTAAACCTGATGTAATCTTATGAAGAGGAAAAAATTTTGAAAGTGTTAAAATAATAGTAATTTAACAAAATTCTCTCTTGAAGGTCCGTTGTCTGTATACAGAAGTCAGAACTATTCATATTTATTAGAAATGTCAAATGTACGATAAACCTAGGATCCCTAAAATGTGGGATGTGGAGGGGGGGGGATGTTTCTGAGCAGTTAAGACTGTAATCTCATTCGGGAGGCACATGTGAAAAAGTTACATATTGAAATATAATTATAAATTCTAGAATCTTCTAATTAAGGTTATGTGATACAGACTAGCAAAGCCTAATTTAGCCCAATGAGTCTGATGTGCTTAAACTGTTAGATCTGTCAGTATCTTCTGTTTTGGGTAGGTACAAAATTTTACATTCTTCAGTCAACCTAATATTTCAGGTTTAGAAGAACATAACAAGGACTTTGTAGTCTTCTGTTACATTAGTTCATTTCTGTTACTTTGAAATCAGTGCAATGAAAATAACAACAATATTGCTTAAAGAAAGAAGAAACCTTGCTTTCTTCAGGAGTTGCCGTGACTCTTTGATAGATGTGTTCACACTATAATATTGAAAAAGATCATCAACCTAGGTCCTTGTTTAGTGCTGAGCTATGGGCTGGAGTTTTGCACTTTTAGACACATTTCAGATACTAACTTCATGTATATGAACATCATATCAAACTTATTCTGCATCTGAGGGAAGGAAAGGCTTTTCTAAAATGGCAAAACCCATTAATTTCCTCTTTTCCCAGGATAAAAATCTAACTACTGTGTCTTTAGACATAAACCAAATGCCAAATTTACTTTGTCTTTTGCTATGCAAAGCCGTGCAATTTAAGTATTAACTTAGGACATATATTACACACTTAGTCAGTGTTTATATATATATACATTTAGAGAGAGTTTCTGCTCAGACTTATTTGCATTCCCAAAGCAATGCACAATAAATAAGCCAAGAGACTTGATTATATAGGGTCTATGTCATGTCACTTATGTTACCATACATATGATAACGCAGAATACTTAACAGTTTACTGACTTCTAACTAGGTGGTTTCTTCGTGCAGTTTATCACTGGTAGTTTCTAGTGTACCTGCTCATATAAAGGCGTTGAAAACATCTTAAAGAACATAAAAAATGATGCAAAAGTTTACTGGAAACATGAATAAACAATTCCTCTATTTTTGTTAAGCAATAGTCTGCTAAAACTTGTTTACAGTTGTAGGTTATTTTCTTTCTATCTGTATCACACAATGTCAGTTTCAAGTCTAGACATCAATAACATATTTTTACAATAAAACAGAAATGCTTTTAATTACAGTGTTTGGTTTTAAAGAGTAAGCGTAATCTAGAAACTTTACATGATATTCCTTTAAAATTACAAGTTCAGGTTTTTTAATGTTCAGGTTTAAAGGTCATGAGTATATAAATCAGTGGTTACAGTACTATATAATTTTTTCTTTTGCATTCCTTCATGTAGGTCTCCTTTAATGGGAGAGTCACAGCTATTAAGGTGACACAACATGTTGCCACACCTGGTAAACATTTGACTTGTCCTCCAACTCCTTCCTCCTCTACCCCCCTTTTCCACTTGTTTTATAAACTAGAACCACCATGAAAGAGATTTATTGTGTTGATGATGCTGTTTGATTATATCTTTTATATTTAAATATCTTGTGGGCATTATCTGGGATGATAATATTTGTGAGACAGCCAGGCATCTAATTCAAGTTAAACAAAATAATTTAATGTCAGAAGGATGGTCAAATAATATGCTTTATACAGGTTTAATGTGTACTCCTTGATTATCATTAAAAGCTGAAGATCAGAAAAGAAGCTGAAAAAAGACCTCCATGCTTCACGGGAGATGGCTTGAAGTCTCAGTCGTTTCAAGACAAGACTTTGACATAGCAAGAACTCCTAATAATAAAACCCTTACAATTCATATGTAGTGTCATCCACTGCTTTTTGCTAATCTCATCAGAGAGGTTTTCCTGAAGTCCAGACTTCTTGTGTCAGTCTTTAAGTTTTTTTTTCCCCAGATCCCATAAATTCCTTCCCTTCTTCTTTGAGGAAACTACAATTATTTAGTCTAGGGAAGACTAAGAGAGAGAATTTCCAATGTAAAGTGTTTAACAATCATAAATGTACTTACATTTCTTTCAGTTTTCTGTCCAGATATTAACTTCACTGTAAATCTAAAAACAAAGCACACTCACCTTGATAAAATGTTACTAAAGTTAAAGGGTTTATTTTGTGGGTCTTGCAAGTAATACTCCTGTTTTAACATCCAAGCATCCCAACCAGTATTTTAGTTTAGGAAAAGCAAGTGTAGTCTGTGCAGAGTTACGGGTACATTCTCTGCTCTTCCCCCTGCTGGGTTTTTGTTTTGGTGGAAGGAAGCTATTCAATATTCTCGTGGTAAGGAGTAACATTGCTTCCAAGTGCAAAAAGGATGCAAGAACACTGAGTCAGCATCTCATTTAAGCTTAAGGGCAAATTAGGCCTGAGCAACCTGATTGCCTTCTCATCCAGAGTCAGTAATTTCATAATAGAGAAGAGCAGTGGATGTCATTTACCTTGACTTAAGCAAGAACTCTGGCACGGTCTTGGGTAACATTCTTCTGGCTAGAGAGGTACAGACTGTGACCTGGGTGGAAAAACTGGCTGGAGAGTTGGGCTTAAGGAGTAGTGATCAGTGTTTTGAAGTCTAAGGTGGACGATGATAGAGGTTGATTTTGAGGTGGATACTGTTAAGCACCTTCATCAGTGATGCAGGCAGTGCAAGAGGATGCATAGTCATCAAGCTTATGAGTGACACCAGCTAAGGAACAGGCTGACTGACAAGCTGGGCTAAGGACACAAGGACAGATGTTTTCACTCCCTTGAAGTGGTGAGGGAGAGAAACATGTATCTTAAGAACAAGATGTAGGTTATACTGTTCTGTTTTGGTTTGGCTTTTAGCTGCTCAGCCTTTTGATTACAGAATTGACTGTTACTGCACAGGTGAATTATAGGTCCAAGCACAGCCAGCAGCTGTCTTCGGGCAGAATGGGTAGCATCAGAAAGCCACAGCCTTTGTTTTGATCTCACTGCAGAAAAAATGTGTATACTTGGCATGGTATTTAATACTAGTCATCTATACCCTTTTCCTTAGGGAAGTACTATAGTGGGTCCAATTCCAGTAGTTGCCCACAGTTACAACTTCTTTATACACTTATCCATCTCCTTTGTTTTTTTCCTTTCTGAAAACGTACCTGTATTAGCCTGGAGAGAGGCACACAGCAGGAGTGAGGCTGAGCTTGGATATCTTTAAGAATCTCTGGCATGCAGTAGGTGTCATTCCTGTAAACAGTGCTGGATGGTTTATAAACCTTTCAGTAATGAAACCTGGAACAATTCTATTTAACTTTGACATTGTTACATTTAAATACTACTCTTCTAACTTGACATGTTAGTGTTTTGGCTATTTCCTTTTTACAGACCCGATCTTTGCTGGGAGTATTTGAAGAAGATGCAGCTGCAATTTCCAATTACATCAATCAGCTATTTCAAGCCATGCACAGAATATATGATGCACAGGTAGTGTTAATGAAATTCCTGAATGTATTACTAGCTTTTGAATTGCATTTAATGTCATTTGCTTTTTAAAAAAATATTATAAGCAATATTTTTTTAAAAATTCCACATTCTTTACATATTTATATACATTATTTATACACTTCAATTGTGGAAGTGAAATAAAGTAAGAATTAAATGATTATTTTTCTGCATGTTAGGGATTGGTAAAGACTTAAGTTCTCACGATTTCTTTTGCAACAGAATTTCTTAGGCCAAATAAAAATATTTTCTTGTTTTCTAGTAGTACTATTATGTTTCCCAAGTGTTTCTAAAATGTTTCCCATCATGACCTTAGTATGTACCAAGTGGGAGATTCTTTTTTACCCACAATATATTCGTGTTTCACTCATCATCTATAAGTAGCAGCACTTTTATGCCAAAGACAGAATGTCTTTTGTGTGTTTTTCTGGACAATTGAGTTTATGGCTGTATTATTAATTTGTATGTACTTGAACTGTTTGACTTTTTTACTGATTTGTTACTCTTGCTTTTCATATTTTTATTTTACTGTTGGTTTTACTGTAATGAGTAGTGTGTTTATTGTAGGTTTGCTGCTATATAGTTTTATTTCACTGCTTTTCTATTTAGCTTTTAATTTCTGTGCTTTCTCCTTCAACTGCATCATGAAAGATGCAGTTGTTCCATACTATGAATCTGCTAAACAGGTCCTGTCTGTGTACAAGTACAGAGCAGTTTGTAATCTGGTAGTACTGAGGTTCATTGTAGTCTTTTCTTTCGTTTAAAGATAACAGATTCTTAATACTGAGTAACTAGGGCAGCTAATTTGAAATAATTAAATGCAAATATGCACTACTTAACATGAAAAATACAGAAATTGGTGAACATAGTACAGGCTGTGAACTTGGTGTTTGGAAACACTGATTACTTGTAACTCAATGATGTTAGAGAATGGAAGGGCACGATGTTTAGGTTTTCCGAAAATCTGCAGTCAGATTTTAAGTTCCATGCCTGTAATAGTTTCCTCTTCAAATACATGGTTATTTTTAAATACTAATTTAAATCACAAAGTAACAAGTTTGGGTTTTTTGTTGTTTGTTTGTTTTTTTAAAATCAGAATGAATTAAGTGCAGCAACTCATCTGACTTCAAAGCTTCTGAAGGAATATGAGAAACAGGTACTGTGTAAATCATTGTTGTCTTTGTGTGGTCAGGACTATGTATTTTTGTAGTCTTTATCTCCCAGAGCACAGTGTAGAATGTGTTTAGGTTTGGTTCAGATAAAATGAAATGCTGTGGTTGGTGGCTTGAACCTTTGCCAAAAGTATCTACTGTCTTTCATACTAGTATTTCCAACTAAAACAGAATGAAGTTCCTCTTATTATGATGAATATTAGTAAGTTCTGAAATATTTTACTTTTGGATCACTGTTTTGAGGGTTGCTTAGGGTCATGGTGGTGTTTTTGTTCTATAAACCTGTTTACTATTAAGTGCTTTAATTTTACTAGTCACAAGGAGAAGAGGTTACATAGCAGTCTTCATTTAACAACCATAAATTACTTTTATTGTGAGAATAATTCCACCTCGGAAAGCGCAGGTTGTGGAATCCATAACTTTCTCCACTGGTAGCCTGTACTGTGAAGGGTTTCCTATTTGTAGCTGTGCTGCTGGGACCCCTCTTCTGAGGTGCGTGTTAAAAACAAGAAGTTGCTTCTTCTAAGGCAGCTGGTACTCCCTACCCTCATTTTCTACCTAAGGAAGTAAACTGGAAAAAGTACTGTTTACAAATTATTTTGGTTTGGTGAGTCTTTTAGAGGGGTGAGATGACACTGTTTTTCCTTCACTAGTTGTTACTGACCAATAGGTGTAATGCAGATAGAATCAAAAACTGCAGTGGTGTTGATCCAACAGACTAGTGAGTATCCATACCTACAGTAGTTCCATTAGAGAGAGATGGAGAAATGGAGAGATGTAGAGTGTCTTTTTAAATCTTATATTCCTAATGACAGACTGGAAATGCTGCCTAAGATGTCTGTGCTACTTCAAATTATAGCAGCAATTAAATTATTTCCGTGTTTTTTTTTTTTTTAAGAAGTTGCTGCAGTACTGCCATTTGAAATGTTTTAACATTGATGCAATACTGAATTGACTTTAATGACACAGCTGTTTAATGAATTGCACTGTTTCTGCCATTTTCTAGCAAAAAATATAGCATTTGCAAAATCAAAATGAAAAGAACTAGCTTCAGTTTAGAAGAACCAGTTAGGGCAAGATACTCATTCATTAGTAATTATGGATATCAAAATATACACCAAATACCCTTATTTCAATTACAGTTTGTTATATTCATTGAGAAGAAGGAGGGGGGCACATAAGCTGGAAGGAGGTGCTCAACATTTTTAATAAAGAATTTTGGTTTTTTAATATTTCCAAGTGGTTTATGTATAGCTGCTGTGAATTAAAAGAAGAATTAAATTAGCATTGGGCCTTTTAGCTTATTTTTCTGATTTGTTTTCTTTGGATTACATTTTTCCTAGTCAGGGGATTAGCTTAAAAATAAACAAATGATGTTTTAACTGGGTTATTTGTTTTTGAGATGTGACCATTTTGGTCATACTTTTGCTTCCATCAAAGTATTTTAGAAGTAAACTCTTTTGGATGGTTTAAAAATTTCACATAATCACATAATTTAAGAGCTAGAAGCTTAAGAAGAATACCAAATACTGCTTAATTTTTTAATAATTTTAAAATAATTTGCAAAGCTGAATAAAAATCTTCATAGATGTTGTCTGCATCTTTCTTGATTTTTTTTTTAAATAAAATTATTAATATATTTGTAAAATCATTAGAATAATGAATTAATATATTTTAAAAATAGGGTGTATTTTGGTATTTTTCTTAATGAGAATTGTTTATGACTTTCCCTTAACCCTCCAATATTCCTTCTTCACAGGACAATAAAGTGCTTCAGTGTATCTTAACTGTATAATATTTTAATATAATGGAATACCTAATACAATTACAGACATGATGAATACGGTTTTGTGAACAGCAGAAAACACTGCCAGTGTGCCTCCTTTTATTTTCTTTTAGCGTTTTCCACTAGGGGGAGATGATGAAGTTATGACTTCCACTCTACAGCAATTTGCAAAAGTGATAGATGAGGCAAGTACTTGTATCTGTTTCACTTACTTTGCTAATGTTGTCATGTACAGACTTTAACTTGCTTAATTATGCCAGCCATTTTAAGATAGGAGGTACAGGAATAGCTTTAATTTGTCAATAAGGTAACATTTAATTATATATTGCAGCATATGCTTAAAGTTACATAACCTGAGGATAAAGAATCGATTCAACAAAAAGAGGATACATTTTTAAGCAAGAAAGGAGTTTAACTTACTGTAGATACATTCTGTCACGTTTTATGGCTGTCAGAAACTGTTTTTCATGAGAGTATTGGTATTGCCTGATTTTTAGATACCTGACTGGCAAAGTAATGTTCTGCTGTCTGTATTGGGAGGCAGAGACTGACTCTTACAAAAGACAACTTAGCAGCAGTAAGATCTGAATCAGGATTTTTTCTGTGATCCCTCTCCCCACTTTTAACACTACTCAAACAGCATTTTGAGGGGAAGAATACAAATTTGTTCTACCTCTAACCTGTGAAAGATGGGCTGTGATGTAGCTGGAGGGAAACTGCAGAAATAAAGTCACCAGCCATCAGAACGTATGAGGCCATCTTCTGACATGATTCATTAATGTGGAATAAAGTTGGAAAAGTAGGGACAAATACTAAACTGTAAAGGTTCCTATAAAAAGCTAGTGTTGAGATCAAGAAGCTAGAAAAGAACAGCTACAAAAAACGAATGTGCAAAATTATGTTTGAGTTGTACGTGTCATCTTTGAATGAAATTGATGTCAACCTATCTTGATTTGATTTATTCTCAACACTGTTTTCCTAATATTTTCTCCTTTCTCTTGTCTTTTACAGCTCAGCTCTTGCCATGCAGTACTTTCAACTCAACTTGCAGATGCAATGATGTTTCCTATTACCCAGTTTAAAGAAAGGGATCTAAAAGGTAGAGTACTTAAAATAATACTGTTTTTTTTTTTTTCAACAGCAGCAGTAACAAAAACATAGCATTTAATCTCCATGACTGTTGACTAAATAGAATACACCATTTATTTTTCAGCTCTCAAAAGTATGCATCTCCCAATTTAAAAAAAAAAATGTAAGTTATTTCTGTTCACGAGAGTATTACAGTTGAAGAACTTAACATTATTACTGTTCCAACAAAAACATTATTTATATTATGGAAGCACTTCTATTCAGGATGAAAATTGTGCAGTTACTGTAAACATTAGGAAAGAATAATTTCAGATAATTTGTATGTTCAGGAAATACTTGTGTATATTATAATACCATGACATCAATATACTGGCTGGACTAAACCCAAAAGGCAAAGTTCCAAAGTTGTAGTACTTACTATATTATTAAGATTTAGTAAGGTGGTTCTTCAGCCCTGCTGGTAACATATGTGACTTCTTACGTGCAGGCATAAGATGCTTTCAGGTTCTTTTGTAACAGTCACATCTTATTCCGCCTGGTCTAGAAGAACATATAATGTGTCTGATTATGATATATTTTACTCAAGATCTAAAGTGAATAGACTGGTGTGGCACATGGGCTTCACATATAAATAAGAGTTAAAACCAAAATAACTTAAATCCCTAATGTGAACATCTTAGAGTACCTAACATATGATTCTTTTAAGGCTAAATTGAAAGAAAAATTACAACTCTTCCATAAGTCTTCTACTCTTTATGAATCTTGGAAAGTACTTATTTGGCAACAGTTTGCTGCAAAACTATGGATTAAGTAGATGATGCTTTTTGAGCAAGGGAACATGAGTATCTCATGGCTAGTATTATTCCTCAGAACCTGGAAAAGTCTCCCGTTAATATTTCCTGAAGAAGCATCCCTGAGGCAATAATCACATATTAAATTTTCCCACTGGGATGTTTTTGACCACCAACTGGTGTAGTATTTAATGGCACCATACTTCTTTATGGACTTCATAGGAACTTTCTGCAAAGCTTCTCTGTGCTTTTTTTTTGTCTTTGCTTTACCATGAAGTTGAACATAGCTCTCTACTTGTTTGTGTTGTAATATGACACAAAACCACAATCAAGATCAGAACAAGTGCTAAGTACTGTACTGTTTTCTGTTTCTTGACACAGTGAGGCTAAACAACCATCTAGAACATGACTGATCTTAGGTAAAAGGAACCACACTGTGGTTGGGGCTTTCCTTTGATCTTGTGATACTTCCCCATCTCCTCTGCTTCCACTTCCCCGACTCAGACCAGAACTATAGATGATGCATTTGTATTGACAGTGTCTTTCAAAGTCTTTTGAAACGAAGTTTCTCCTTAACTTACAGTATCTCTTTTTGGAAAGCCAAACAGCCACATAAATGATACTCGGGCCCTATGTAGGAACAGTCTTTCCTGTCCACATAGTGCCTGTGCTGTTAACTCAGTATGCAACAAAGTGTGGACTACAACTGTTTAGCAGTGAAACATTGCAATAGAAACTTCAATGTGTAAATGTTAATAACTTATTTAAATTGTGATATGTTGTTTTGTAGAGATACTAACTCTAAAAGAAGTTTTCCAAATTGCAAGCAATGGTAAGTATAAAATACTTAATGTTATAGATACTATGAGACAGCAATATTATTGTAGATTATTTGCTCAGAAAACTAGTGAAGATATTTGCAAGGCTTCATGTGAATAATTAACATGTAATTTTTTTCAGTGACACTTAGGCACCCAGCTTTCCTTGGTTCACTTGTAAATCCCTGCTTTGTGTACCAAAGTGTTAAGGCAAATTGACAGTATTAGTCTTTTTTACAATACTTAAAATGTATGTATAATTATTCAACAATATAGGATTACACTACCAAAATTACTAAAAGTAGTAAGGTGCTAGCTCACTTCTTCAAGTCAGGACTGGATTAATAAGCAAATTTTACCTCCCTAAAATTAGTTTGATAGTTCTCTTCCTTGTTGTCAGAAGTTACTTTGTTTTTAGCTAGCTCTACTACAGAGAATATATTCTTTAAGTAAGCATTAAGTAAGGATTCTGCTTCTCTCAATGTAAATTGCTTAATTGCTTTAGCAGTAAAAAAAATTAGATACAGCTTTTAATAATGGAAAGTTGTCTCTACTTACAAAAAGTTGCTGTCTTTGAAGAATATTACATGTTTAGGGAAATTTGTAACAATTTGGCCATATATGCATCTGGTGAAAATATTAATTCAGCCCAAGTATTTGTGGCAATGAGGTAATTATAAACAGGCAAGAACAGTTTTTAACGGTTTTAATATGACAGAACTTTGCATTCAGATGGCTGTGCAACACATAGTGATATAAAAGATTTTCTGCTCTGTTTTGTACGTCATTAATTTATCAAAATGATCATAAATTCTCTCTTGATTGCTTAGATCATGATGCTGCCATTACCAGATACAGTCGGTTGTCAAAAAGAAGGGAAAATGAGAAGGTTTGTAAAACAAAATACTTCATATAAAGATTTTGAGGAGATAAGAAATAATTTTCATCTAATATATGTATTTATGATGGAAGACAATGTGTGGCAGGTTCCACCTGAAGTTCGATAGTTGGTTTTAGCAGTCTAGACAGTTTGCTTCAGAACAGAAAAGCAGGTTTCCCCAATACACGCCTTTCTTGTAATACTGAAAATGCTGTGTAATTCAGATAGTGATAGTATATTCGGTTTATTTTTGTGAAAAAATAACCACACTTTGCAGGGAGAAAAGAATGCTGTAGTTGTTTTTCATGTATAAATTAGAGAAGTGGAATTGTAGGGTAAAATATGCAATTGCTGATGATAGTGGGTAGAACATAACTGTGGTGTTTTTCCTATGCTGGCTATAAAGCTGTCCAGAAGGCATGTGATGAATACAAAGTCTCAAACATTCCTTTTTTGCCCTCCCCTGTCTGTTTCTCTTTAGATCAAGGCTGAAGTTATAGAAGACGTATATACTTCAAGGAAAAAACAGCATCAGACTATGATGCATTATTTCTGTGCATTAAATACTCTTCAGTACAAAAAGAAAATTGCTATGCTAGAGCCCTTGCTAGGATACATGCAAGCTCAGGTAATTTCAGATTCTGAAAGCCATAGGTCTGAAAGAAGATGTAACCTTCATGAAGGTTGATGTACTGAAATCCATCCCAAGACCTCTTTTGCAATCCAAGGAAGCAAATGGAGAATAAGACATATCCCATCCTCATCCCTGTAGCTGTCATAGCTGCTGCCATGAACACTGTCATTAGCTAGCACTAGTCATTTCCCCCTCAATGTATGAATCTCATCATGACATACCCTCAGTCTTTTAGGAAAGTCTGGGTGACAAATATAAAGACCTAATTCTACCCCAAAACCCAGATGGCTAAATTTAATGCACTGCCTGAATTTTCATTGCTGGGTACTTTTTCCCCTCAGTCACTAATGGGAATAGCTGATGTGTAACTTCCATGTGCTACACATGGAAGCATACATTCTTAGAAAGTAACGTGGAGACAGTTAAACTCTTTCCTGTGGCAGCTATCCTGAGATGAGATAATCATCAGTCACATCACTACTGTTTTGAATCAAGGGTGTGGAAGAACGGAAAAGCTAAAAATCATTCTGGCTTGGTTTTGTTTAATATAAATGAGTTCACGATCGCTTTATTTTGAGGATGGGTGCAATAGAACATAAACTGTTCAAGTTCTTTGGAGACTTAATTTTTATTTCCAGAAGTATGTCATCAGGATGCATTTTTTTAGGAACAAAAAAAAAAAAAGTCAAACTTTGCAGTGTCTGGCACTGCCACAGTGTCCTGAGTAGAAATTAACTTTTACATACTCTCTGAAAGCTTTCCAAGTCCAAGAAGTCTTACTTCTTTTTGAAACTTTGTAGGTTGTATTTAAGAACTAAGCTCTGAATGTTTTCTATAACAAAGTAGCGCAAGTTGTTCAGGTGCAGGTTTTTGCTGAATCTAAGAATGAGAAGGTCAGGACCATGCCCTGTGGCTTCCTGTTATGAGATTTCATATGGCTAAACTTAATTTAGATGTGCCAGTTTTTCTGGACCAATATGGAATACACTGTGTTTAAGATAAATATTGTCAGTTCCCCTTGGCAGGGTCCACAGTTAGAGGATGGCCCTGCACAAGGTCTTACAGGTTTCCCCTCTCTCATGCCCCCCGAATAACCCCACCCATAACACAGCACTTAGCAGGCTGATGGGCTTGGAAAAGTAGACAGAGACCTTGGTGTCACTGAAAGATCAAACCTTGTTTCGTTTGCAGGACAGTTTCTACGTATTTCTATATTCCTCCAGATGAGACTGCACATCCTCTTGACACAATGAAATCCCTCTGCAATGTCAGCATCAACCTTCACTTGCAGACAAAAACATGTATTCTGCTCCTTTTATTGAAAGGCTTTGGTGGGAATGAGGGATGAAAACAGATTTATCTAAGAAAATTTAACCTCCTATGGTTTCATCTGTTAATTGTTAATGTAGTTTTATTAATGACTAAATTCTCCATTTTCCTCCTCTTATTTTTTCTTTTAAAGATAAGTTTTTTTAAAATGGGTTCAGAAAATCTTACTGAGCAATTGGAAGAATTTTTGACCAATATTGGCACAAGTGTACAGAAGTAAGTTATGTTGAATTTTGAACTATTATCAAGACAATTATTTTTTCTGTTTCTACTTACTAATAAATTAACTTTGTTCAAAACACATTATTTACCTTAGTGTTCGCAGGGAAATGGAGTGTGAAGTAGAAAACATGCAACAAACTATCGAGGACTTGGAAGTAGCTAGTGATCCACTGTATTTGCCTGATCCTGATCCTACGAAATTTCCTGTTCATAGAAATCTAACCCGGAAAGCCGGCTATCTCAATGCAAGAAAGTAAGATTAACTTGTTACTTCAAAATTCCAGAGTATTTAATTTTGGGAAAAGAAAGCTAAAAAAGTATGCAATATTCTTTTGAAGTTAGCTGTGCTGATTTTACACACTCATTTGAGTAAGTCACATAGGAGCTATTCTGTTTCTTTCTTTGGACTCCTTCAGTTAATTAATATTAAAATAATTGTTACACTGACATAGTGCCATTCAGGTGCAAAGCATAGTTATCCTGATTTTAGTCTAATTTTGCCTGAATTTTCACATCAAAAAGGAAATGTTTGAGAGTGTAATTTCACTAGATTGTAAATGGAAAACAACAAGAATGCAGCTATCAGGATTGTTCTATAAGTGTCTGTTAAAGCTTTGGGATTAAAGTTACTAATAAAATACGATGAACAAGATACACCAGGCAAAACATTCTCTGTTAACTGAAATACACTTTGAATGGCCTGCTCAATTTCGTGATGTGGTCTTATGTCCACTGGAGGGAGCCGTTACTCTAATAAAGTCTAGCAGCTGATTTTTATAGTTATTAAAAATAAATAGTAACACTCAGATTTCTTTTCTGTAATTTATATAATAAGCTCCAAGGAATTTAAAAAAAATGTAAATTCCTTATACAGTAACAGTTAGAGTAACATACTCACTGACTGAATTTCTGTAGCAGAACACAATTGCAGCAATTAATATTGAAGAGAGTATCTGAACAAAAAGGGAGGCTAAACTGCAAGTGTTATTGATTTTTGGTATCAGATTGTTCCTCTTCTGTAATGGGGGGGGGAACCAAACCAACAAACCAAAAAACAAAACAAACAAAAAAACCCAACCAACCAAACAAAAAAAAACCCACACACCAAAATTTGAACATGCTCTAAGCAAAACTTTGGAAATCTTTCTGAATGGTACGAAATGTTTGAAAAATTGAGGTATTTTACATGACTGACTAATTCTTAACACTAAGTTTTTTCAAGCTTAGTCTTTAACAATATAAGTGCAGAGTTCAGAGGTCTTAATTATATTGATAATGCATCATTTGAAGATGCATATTGTGTAAAGCAATACCATAAAAGCTGATCATTAAAACTGATGCCTTTTAATTCTAAATTGTTTCATATCATTTAAGAAAGTAATTATTATTGTATGTATTCTTTGCCCAGCAGTAGGTTCAGCATGGAAAAAACAATGGATGTGAAGAAGCAGTTTAGCTGTACAGCTGACATAAAACATTAAATGGGGACAGAAGTGCTATTAAGTGCCCAGATGGTTTGTTCCAAGTGATTTTTAGCTCAGTTGAGCTCCTAATCTACTAAGAACCTCTTTGTCTTTTAGTAAGACAGGACTGGTATCTTCCAGTTGGGAGAGACAGTTTTACTTCACTCAAGGTGGAAACCTGATGAGCCAAGCAAGAGGTGATGTCGCTGGGGGACTTGTCATGGATATAGACAATTGTTCTGTAATGGCTGTGGACTGTGAAGACAGACGCTACTGTTTTCAGATAACATCTTTTGATGGCAAAAAGTAAGTATTCTTAAATTACTGTTACCTGTAAGTAATACTGGACTCACTAATTAAGAGGAGAAAGATGGTCTGCCTTTGGCCAGATTATACCTTGATAGATTCTGGGGGTATTTAGAAGCAAAATCTGGGATGTCTTCTTAACTTTGTAATGTCTGGGTTTGGTTGTATAATGTAGCTGAGTGGTATTTCAGAATAAAATTACATAATCAGTTTATAGTCATGTATTACTGCACTTTGTGAGTTCTTAAGTATTACATGGGCACAATTAGAATTTTGTTGCTTTCTTATTTTCAAATGAAATAAAGCCATAGATTCCCCCCATGCCTCCCCAATTAAAATGTTGATTGTACTCAGCACATGCACAGAATCTTTCGCCTTGCTTAATTTGTTGTGGAGTGTACAAACATGAAAATGTAGTTTCCTGTCTGAGTGTATTTGTGAGGTGCTTTAAATAGACAAAATTGTCTTCTCCGTTTTCTTCTTTCAGGTCTTCAATCTTGCAGGCAGAGAGTAAAAAAGATTATGAAGAGGTAAGTTTATAGGAGGTTGGTGTGGAGTCAGTGATTTTCTGTTGTGCAAAAGGAATATATTTGTAACCATGGTTGGAATGCTCATTTTATGTTCTCTAGGTAGTAAGCAGTGAAGTTTTAACTCATTCTATCCATAATGACGGGTTTCAGGAAGTCTGACAAAATATTACTGTGTTTAAATCCTAGAGAAAAAAATGCATTAATGATTGCCACAAAGACCTTTTCAGTATTATGGAAGAAAGAAAGGCAAAAAGAAGAAGAAAGGGAGGAAAAAAACAAACAAACAAACCACCACAGTAAAATAGCTAGCAGTAATGGAATCTTGACAAATGCTTCTTCTCCTCCTTCCTGTTTGTGTTTTCCTGACGTTCTTTCTTCCTACCTGTCAGGATGGAAACTAAAGGAAGTGTTAGGTTAGGACACAGATCAAGATACAGGCAGTTGAGAAAAAGAGGAAAAACTGTTTTTCTGCTCTTGATGCATGATAAGAAACACGTTTATACTCCGTGAGCAAGATGAATCAAGAAATGTGAAATAATTTGCTTTTGGACTGCTTCGAAAGCTGTTTGTGATCATTGTTCCCAGCTGCGAAATCTGGAGATGGAGATTTACTTGCGGGTTCGTGGATGAATACCAGCTGGGATGTGTCAGTCTTCAAATGCTAGCTAGCAGACTTGTGTCAAATACTGATGGGGACCCCACCCAACCGGTGGGGATCTCTCTTCCCTACTTGATTTAGCATTCTGAAGAGGTGAAAACAAAAAGCTTCTCTGGACTTTTTGCAAATAGCCTAATGTTACAGGCTTGTACTGGTCAAAGGTTATAGTTATTGGAATTTGTTTTCCTTGGACAGCTTTTTACAGCATTCCAAAGGATTGCACAGATGGGCCAAACTTACAGATTCGTTATATTCATAGTGTATGAATACAGTCAGATTTGTCCAGAAACAAAGGAACAGACGTAGTAAGTGATACAAAGTATTTTTTAATGCCTGTTTGCATTATTATTCAATATAGACTTTTCAGTAAGGTGAGGGATGGGAAAGAAAATGTTTTAAAAGCACTGTTGATTTGAAATATGTTTCGGCAAGCAGCTGGATAAGGAAATGTAGAAAATGTTGTACTTCCAGCTTGCATTCAAATTCCTTTGCATTCTTCTGTGTTACAGTGATACAAAATGATCTTTTATGCCATTTCTAAGGCTTTTAGCTGTGCTGTGACAGGTTGGCCCTGGTTCTTCTGCTCTGTTGAGGTTGGCTAATATCCTAACTGCAACATTTGCACTCGGATGCCTTACTGGAGGAAGGGAGTTTACAGTCAGCTTGGGCAGCTCAAATTGATGATTTTATGGGCTGCAGCTGCTGTGCTGTCTTTTAGATAGCTCAGGTGACAGCCGTAACAACAAGCTGGGATTCAGTGGAGCAGCACTGGCAGTATGCATGCAGGTTTTTTTTTTCCTTCAGAGAAAAGTTGAAAAGCAAGGAGCAGGAGCAGATGATTTTTCATATCACAGGGAGAAAACAGATTCTAGTTTATAGATGCAAGAAATAGGCAACTTCTACAAAGGGCAGATGGAATCTTTATAATATCTTCAGGAAACAATGTCATCTGCAGTCACAGAATAATGGAATACAGAGAATCCTGATTTTTTTTTTTTTTTTTTTTTTTCCTTTTTAATTCCATAGTGTTGTGATTTAAGCTTGCTTTAGTTTTGATCTTTAGTGCGACTAATTTTTTCAAGTAAAATCTGATATTGTAAGGTGCAGTAGGCAGATAGCTAATTTAATGACAAGCTGAGTATGCAGAATTTTGGTTTCACTACCTGAATGACGAAGAAAGTGGGAAAATTGCTGTAACCAGCCAACTCGGGTATTAATCAAGCTTGTTAAAAAACTGTGAAAAATAAAATTGTTTTCTTTTTTCTTTTTCTCTCTCTTTTTCAGTGGATATGCACCATAAACAACATATCTAAACAGATATATCTAAGTGAAAACCCTGAGGTAACTTTACTAAAATTTATAGTATCAGTAATTTGTTAAGATGTAGAAACGCACAAAAATAGAGATCAACTGCATCTAATCGTTAGAATAGAATTAAGCTGAGTACTTCCTACATGATGACTAATAAGCTTTTCATGGTATGAAAGCATAGTCTGTTGTCTCCTTCATCTAAATGCTTATATAGAAAGCACTAAAAATATGTGAGTTTTATATTGGGTATAATTTTTTGACATCTTCAGGATGCTGTGCTTGTATTTTCTGTATGATGCTTTGTTACAAACTAGTATGACAAATATTCAGATGGATACATTTAATTTCTACTAGAGGGAACTGACAGTTCTATAAATATGAATCTTATGAGCACAGCAATTTTGTAGGAAAAACATATTTTCACTTCATGAAAGTTATTTCCCTTTTAAAGAGTTGGAAGTTGATTATTTGTTTCATGTAGAGAATTGGAATAAGTAAATTCATGTCATTTATAAGGTGTACATATATATTCATAGAGTAAGTTCATATTGATACAAACTGATGTAGTGACTTTTACTTGATACATTAGGGGACTTGGCCCAACAAAATCTGTTTTAGAGCATTTATCTATATATAAATTCTGTTGAAAGTGAAATTGTATTCCTTGACATCCCTGCTGAGGTCTGAAACAGGTTATTGGAAAGGAAACCTGCCAGTGATCGTATGCCAGAGATGAGAACTATAGACAGAGCAGTCAGCAGGTGGCTTGTTGAATAATACAGGAATTCATCATTCAATTATGTCACACAAGGCTCTGGCCAAATGATCTGGAAGATCGAGGTGAAATGGAAAAGTGTGTCATGCCAGTTTTTGGTTCAGGAACTAAACATAACCTTGTAGATAGCACAAGTACCTGGCTGACTAAGTTAACTATACAGATGAGATAGAAAATAGTTTTAGTGCAGAGCTCAGTGAACCTAAAGCACATGTTCTGATGAATATACAGTGGAGGTTCTGTTAGTCCTGGCATAAGTGGGTAGAGCTCCCTTCCATCACTGACGATGTGTGCATTTACACCTCGATGTTAGTGCCTTCTCCTCGCTTCCCAATGGCTTCATAGTCATTCTCATTTTCTTAGTCACATGCTTACACAAAATGTTGCTCTTGATAGTTTTGTCTGCTGCAGCTTCCCTCTCCAAAAATCCTCTTTCCTCAAGGACTGTCACTGTGGGCTTTACCCCATGAAGTGAAGCCGTCAACATTAAATACTGATACTTCAGAATTAGTGATTTCAATTAAAGATTAAAATGAAATTCTTCAACTGTAAATGGTCCGTTATTTGTTGCAATAACATTGTTACGTAGTCCTTAACTGATAGTTATTTGTGTCTTAGTTTTTCAGAAGCATTTAAGTGTTCTCAAATTTCAGGTGCAGACTTTTGAACCTTCATGTTTTTTAGTTAGGAGTTGAGGACTGCATTTTGCAAATGAGATTTTTCTTTTTCTTCCTGGCTACATTTGCTTCTTTTATTACACTTATCTTTGGGGCTTTTCTCTATTATGGCTTTTGTTAACATTCACAGTATTGTAAAGCAAGTGCATTCATTTAAATTTAGAAAGTGAACAGCAGGAAACGTGTTCCAAGTTAGAAGAAAATACTGCAACTATGTTAGTGAAAACTTAGGAATGTAGCATTCTCACAGAGGGCTTTTATAACTTCTGTCACCTGGATATAAATAAAACTGCAATCTTAAAATTTATTCTGAGGAAAATGTTTTCAGGTTTTTTTTCCCATTTCTCTATTGCAGGAAATTGCTGCACGTGTAAATCAGTCAGCTCTGGAGGCTGTTACTCCATCTCCTTCTTTTCAGCAGAGGCATGAGAGCATGCGGCCAACCGTGTAAGTTAATGAATTAATAGGTCATTTGAAAAGCACATCTACAAAGAGAATCCAGGATAAAGTTCTGGGAATTAAAAAGCACCAAACAACAAAACTTTCTGTGTTCAGAACTAAATCTTTGATTGGCTAGAGGAAAAATTCTTGAACTCACCTTTTTAGTATTGCTTAGCATCCATTGTTAAAAGTAATCTAGATTTTCAGCTGACTAGACATTTTTGTTGCTTGCATCATATGTCTGTTTTGTTGTATGAATTCATGATGAGATTTTTCTTAATGTGTCCAACTCCTGGAAGCAGTCCTGAGACTGTTTTAACATCAACAAATAATCACATATGAAATATAATACAATCTGATGCAATTATTAATTAAAGAAATAATCTTACTTAAATTTGACTAGGAATGTAGACTCCATTTTTGCTTATTATATCCTGATCATCCCCAGGTTTTTAGGTTTTGTTTTGTTTTACATCCAAGTTTTGGAATAATGTATTGGTCTCCCACATGATCTAATTTATTATGAACCAACCTGAAATGAAGGTATCTTAATTTTTATGTTTTTATTTTGTTTTAGACAATCTCGTCCTCCTGCAGCTCGTACTAGCAGCACAGGGTCACTGGGATCTGAATCAGCAGCTTTATCAGCACTTTCCTTGGATTCACTTGTTGCCCCTGACACTCCTATACAATTTGACATAATATCTCCAGTCAGTGAAGATCTGCCTGGTCAAGCAAAATCTTCAGGGCAATCGGGCAGGTAGGCAATGCAGAGAGAAGTAAAAAAAATTCCTGAAGTTCATGTTATTAGTCTAAACACAAACAAACAAGAAAACCATGTTTAGGCTGCAGCTTCAGAACACACACTGCCTTTGCCCTGACTCATGTCACAAAATATACAGTGGCCAGTGAAGCAAAACAATTTTTTAAATTGTTAGAGTTGTAAAAAAAAAAAAAAAAAACAAAACAAAACAAAGTCTTCATTACATGCACTAGATTCAAGGTACAGTTTTCTATTTAGCAGCAGCTTTTCTTGCTTTAACAGCTAATGCTTTTATATATTGATTTATTTTAATCTTTTGGTTTCACAAAGTATTTTCCTTTCCTATTGCTTGCTTACCCAGCAGCTTGGGTTATTTCCTCTTGGAAACTCAAGAGAAATTTGGTAGCCCTGCCTCCAGTTGATGATGGCATACGATGACACTCTTCTTAACCTAAAAGGTGAGTGAAAATGATCTAGGCTTCTAGAGTAATCTCATATACAGACAAGTTAAAATTGTCTAAGAGCTCTTCCCAAATAGAAAAACAATTTCTCCTACTTGTTTTTTTGTAAACCTCCCACTCAAAAATAATAATACAAACCTGTAAGTCTGCACTGTATTTCTGGAATTATATGTACAGAATTCAGATATTAAGAAAACATACTTGCAGATCCAGCTGCTCTTAACAACCACCAAAAAAGCCAAAAAGCTGAAAATTAATGTATGTGACTCTAGTCACAATAATATGTTGTATCCCACTTCCCTCTAGAAAAATACTAGAATTTTCAGTTGTACCTCACAGATTCATGAGTTAAAATTACATATACTCAAGTCTTTTTTTTTTTTTTGACAGTTTTCTTTTTGTTGTTTGATATAGCAGGATAATCAGTTGACTAGCTAAATCCTTAAGAATATATTGATATAAAATAGGCTTGAACTGTAAACCAGGAAGTGGAAAAGTTAATACTTAAAGCTAAATTCATGTCATCAGTTAGAAATCCATCCTAGAAAATCATATTTTTCATATCAGAAATATTAGTTGTGCTCAGTATTTTCAATTAACCATCACTGTCAATAAAAATCTGCAGTATTTATACAGATAGGCAACATGCTACTTCAGAAGTATTAATTACTAAAAAAAGACTTTCCTTAGTTTCTGATACTGATGACATTCTATTTAAATTTTATTTTTGCTTTTTGAGAGATCCTGTGAGATTTTGCATTTACTGTTCCAGTCCAGTCTTAAATGACAAGAAAAGTCTGAGCAATAGAAGGTGCTAATAGAATTGACCTTTAGTGTATTTATGCAGGTCAGTAAGTTAATGGGATGATTCTTGATTGAGTCCATGTTACATAAGCATTGTAGCAATGCCATCTTGACTTCAGAGTTCAATCTAGAACAAGTTTATTACTTTGAAGTAGGAGATACCTAGTTTAAAGACTTCATTGATAAAACTGGCAGTCAGCATGACATGTAAGTGAACAAGAGATTGACACTTTTTTCTCTCTAAGTTCTGAAACTTGCTTTCAGAATACTAACTATTGAGTGGTGACACCTTCACTACTCCCCCATAAAGCCTAATTTGAAGTTTATTGAACCCTTGATAATAGATTTTCAGCTACCACTTAGCCTGAGAGAAAGGGGGTTTGCCTCTTTAGAAGTTCTGAATAACATTTCCCCATTTCCCATACTCTTTTCAGCACTGCTTTACTGCTTTTGAACAACGTAGACTTGGAAGCCTAGAGTATTTTCACTTTTCGTTGTAACTGATAGCAATTCTGTCTTTTGAGAGCCAGAAATAGCCACATTTCTCTTGACCCTCTAGGAGTAAAACCCCAGTGATGTTTTCAGAAAGCTGCATTTGAAACAAAACCAGTGACTACTCCTTCAGTAAGTAATTCAACAACTTGAGACAGTGATGAGAAGTGTGGTGCTCCTATAGAGTACTGACAGGACTAGCTTTTGGTTGTACTTCCTGAAGCTGCTGTGTGAAATACATCCCCTAAAATGATACATTTTCAGATATTAACAAGGTTTTGGCTTCGCGTTAAGTCAGATATAAAAAAAATACCACGTGAGCAAAACTCTCTATGGTTAGCAATAGGACAATGATATCTAGTATTTTTTCCATAAGTTGAGCCCTTGAATATAGAAATTTGTTAAACTCCTGATTAAATTGCACGTCCTTATGATTTGTCATTCATTATTCCTCCAGATTACAAGCCTGTGAAGTCATTACGTGTTCTTATTTGATGCAATATGAGACTACTACATTATTCATTAGTGTTTTTTGTAATCTGACTCCTGGTTTAATGTTTTAATTTTTTGATAGACGCACAAATCCTTTTGGTGAATCTGGAGGCTCAAAATCTGAAACAGAAGGTAAACCAAAAATTTTATTTCAATGCAAAATAAAAACCAGAATTTGAAAATTATTTTTCTGTTTTCATCTATAGCTTCTCTCTTCTAATTTAACACCAGTTTTAGAAAGCTTAGTTACATTAGCAATGTATTAGATGAGTTAAATCAGGCTACTGTCTGAAAGTCTGTTCTAAACAGAATTCATTGCATCTTTTGTATTCATTAAACCAAATGAACAGATGTGTGATTTGCCGTTTCGTAACTGTACCTCTAATTCAGAAGTATGGGCAGTCTCTTTCCAAGTTAATAGAAGTTTGGAGTTTTCCTGACTGCAGTTCACCTCTGTCTTTGAATGGAAAATCCAAAATGAAGTCACATTTTTTCTATGCTTTTCTTTGTCTTAGATTCGATTCTTCACCAGTTATTTATTGTAAGATTTCTTGGCTCTATGGAGGTGAAATCTGATGAAAGTCCAGATGTTGTTTATGAGACAATGCGTCAAATACTAGCAGCTCGCGCCATCCATAATGTTTTCAGAATGACAGAATCACATTTATTAGTCACTTGTGACTGTTTAAAGTAAGTTTGCTTCTTGACTTCTACTGATGTTTATTTACAAAATGACAATCTTTCACTTTGGTAAAACTTACTTTCTGGTTTGTTTTTAAACACAAATTTTTAGGTTAATTGATCCACAGACACAAGTTACAAGACTACGAGTAAGTAACTTTACATTTTAAGATAAACACCCAGCAATGTCATTCTTCTATTTTAAAAATAGTAATATTAGATGTTGGCAAAAATCACTCACAGCGTGAGATTTCCAGACAAATTTCCATTGAAATTAGGAGACTAATGCATACATTTAAAATTGACAGAAAAACACTAGCAAATGAGGTTTAAGGGGAGTGATTTCAATAGGTCAAACAGGCTAATTGCATTGAGTGTTGTGTGGTCTGTGGTTTGGTTATGTTTTGGGTTTTTTTTTTTCCCAATTCTTGACTAAAAATGCACTTGAAAGAAATAAGTAGAATAATTCTTAGGATATCACATAAGGACAGTTTAATTCTTCAGTAACAGCAGTCTTTGTTTTTTGTATTTCAGAACTGTTTCCTTCTCCCCTTCTCTTTCATTATGCACTGTTTATGGCTTGTCATTTAATTTCTTTGGGTCTTCTTTTAAAAACATGCAGTTTTTTGGGGACTCTGAATTACTTTAATTTCCATAAAAGGGAATCCTAAGCATATGAAAATGGCTTGATATTTCTTCCTTTACCTTTGTGGCATTAAGTTCAAAAGTGCCCCAAAGCTGTAAGCTTTTACAGGTGAGATGTATCAACTGAATGCATGTCCAGTATTCTAAATGTGTACATTTAAGGTTAGGAAAAACTCATCCTGTCAGTTTGTAACAGCTGTAGTAGGGGCTTTCAGAATTTATAAACTTATCCTTTGGTAAGTCTTAAAAAAATACAACTGAAATTTCTAAGTCTACCCTATTTGAGGAGTAAGAATGCAAAAAAATGTAACATAATAACGAGAATAAGTGGTTTGTTCCTTTTGTTTTGTCTTTTTGTTTTCTTGCTTATGTAACTCAGAAGAGCTGAACAAACTTCCATAAACGTTTTGGAAAAGTAGTGCCTATATTGAAATCTAAGTCATAAATATAATTTGTATGAATTATGTGTCTTTAAAAAAAATAAAAAGGAGGAAGACTGTATTCACACTTAAAAAGATGACTGAATCGCATTGCAAATATGGTCCTCTTCTCTTACATGGAGTTGTTTTTTTAGAAGCTTTCCTAGCTTTTGAATAATTTAACTCTTGCCTTCTCATATACGGTTCATGTTTCATAATTACATGTTTGGTCAGGTTGTAATTCCTTCTGGTGTGGTTGTGCATTTATGATATTGAACTAACTAACGTGCAATATATTGAAACCCCTTATAGAAAATACTTGGAACAAGTTTTAATATTTTCCTATTTGATCCTTTTGGCAGTTTCCTTTGCCCAATGTAGTCTTGTGTGCTACGCACCAGGAGAATAAGCGCCTTTTTGGATTTGTGCTTAGAACTTCAGGAGGGAGAGCTGAGAGTCGCCAAACTTCCGTCTGCTATATATTTGAATCAAATAATGAAGGGGAAAAGGTATTGGTGATTGTTATATCAGTTTTGAACCTGACGTGGATTCCAAGACCTTAGATCCATTCAAGCTCTCTAGGGGTTTCTGTGGGAGAGTATTTTGTTTATTTACTGAAACACAGTTAAACCTCACAGTCTCAGTACCTGCAAGTGCTTTATTATGCTATTGTATCTAATTGGGGAATCTGGTTTAATTTTAAAGACATTTTTATTAGTCTTTTTGATTATTTCCAATCTGTTTTGTTTTTAGATTTGTGACTCTGTTGGACTGGCAAAACAGATAGCTTTTCATGCAGAACTGGTAAGAATCTTTTTGAAGCAAGAGATACTTGTAAATGGAAGGGAGAGAGTATATTTAGTACGTGTAATAGAATATATTCTGCAAGAGGCTTATAAGTGCTGTAATACAGTTGTGGTGTATTTTAAGGGATTTGTTTTCTAGAAATTTAAACTCAATATAAAAAGACTGATTAATGTCCACTGTGGAACCATATTCAAGATAGCATTCAGCTTGCCTATCTTTAACAAACATACCAGTCCTTTACATGAAGAATAATCAAAGCAGTGGTATAACAGTTTTGATCAAACTCATATAAATTGTATCAAACTGTATCAAACATCTTAGGCTGCTGTTACTTCCTTTATTTACATTTTTGCCATTTAGGATCGAAAAGCATCGGAAAAGCAGAAAGAACTAGACAGAGTCAAAGAAAAACAGCAAAAAGAACTGAATAAACAAAAACAAATTGAAAAGGTACATTTCATCATTATATCTTAGTATTCTTCTTTTTTCTGCTCACTTTCTTTTGCAGTTTTGTACTCCAAGCTCCACTATCATATCTTTAGTACAAGTTCATAGAACATTATGGAACTAATTATTAGAGGTATTTCATGTGGAAGTTTTGTACAATTTTGCATAGTCGTTTTTGAAAAGAGCTCTTCTGAGGAGGTAAACCACAAAACATCTTTATGTGAATACTTAAGAGGAATGCTTGAAGGAACACCCATCCCGGGCCCAAAATTATTTCAGTTGCTGTTGAGGGCTCAGGCTCCCAGTCAGGAGGGGGCTGTAGACAAAAATACTTTTTCTGACCTGCTGCGTTGTGTGGGTACAGGTACAGATGTGTGAATGTGTTTGCTGTTCTAATAATGCCAGTGACTGAAATGTAAATATTTTGGTTTTCTATTGTCTTTTAATTCCCTCTGTACAGAACTCTGTCCATCGATAGTATTAAAAGATAGATTAAAAATCATAACAATGTTATCCTGTTTCAGTTGTAGAAGGCTTTAAATTTAATACTCTTTTTCTGATTTCCCCCCCCCCCCCCCCCCCTTCTGAAATTAGGACTTAGAGGAACAAAGCCGGTTGATAGCTGCTTCCAGCAGATCAAACCAGAGCAGTGGAGAAGGACAGTTCGTAGTCCTTAGCAGCAGCCAGTCGGAAGACAGTGATTTAGGAGAAGATGGAAAGAAGAAGAGAGAATCGGAAGCCTAAGGTTGCCTACTTTATTAAAATTGGAATCATAGATATGTCTGGTGAAATGGCACAAATTCTACAAGAAGTGAAATGTAGGTGGAGGGTCTGTTGTATCGTAGGAAGGACTTCACAATATGTAGACCCTATTCTGCCTTGATTTTTCTTTCTTAATTAAGCGATTTCCATTTTCACGTCAGTATAATTTCTCTTCTGTATGCAGATGAAGCATGGTGATGATACCGTGTCTATTACAAAGTTATGTTTTCTCAAGGCTTCTCTGCAGTATGGGAAAAATGGTGGGCTTTTCCTCACTTACCTCTCTGTGCAATTGCCTCCTCTTGAAGACAAACTTAAAACTCGGACTGGATGTCAGCAGTACACTGAAATTTGTTCTTTACACTGCAGTGTGGAGAGCACCTTGCTGGAAACAAAAGTGCATGTCCAAATAAGACAGTGCTAAGCTTTACCTAATTTGATGCACATAACTGTTCTTAGATTTAGAAAGAAAAATCCTTATTAACATCAGTGAGATGTGCAATAGTTCTAGACAGAAAGATCCTATTTTTTTGTTTCATATTGCACTGTATGATACTGTCTTGATTTTTTTGGTGAATATAATGCTGAAAGACTTCCTTTGACAGGAGAAAAGTAGTCAAACATAGGTAAGAGCTGATGAGCTGCAGTTGCACTTTGCTGCATGAGGAATGTATGAACCATTCCTTATCAGATGATAAGAATAATGTATATATTCTTGTAGCACAAGTGCCATGTTCTTGGTTTTTCCCCAGTACATGTAATAAAATGCTGTATGCCTTTGAGTTCACTTTTTATAAAACATATTTAGAGTTGCAGGAACACCTTGAATTCCATTATTTGAAAAATCTTTGGAATATGTAAATGCCTTGCCACCAGTGTAGTACACTTCTTGAAAATGAGTTGAAGCTCTTCAAGGCTTTTTATGGAAATTGGTTTTGCAAACAGAATCTACTAGTTCTGGAGTAAGAGAGTATGCTAATCCTGCACCCCAGACTCAGTCTCGTAAAGCAGTTTTCAAAGCAGTGTCTGTTTACAGCTTGTAATCTGAACTCGGTGTTCCATACCCTGTGTAATATTTATTTTGTATAGTACTAAATGTGCATTCACCTTTTGATCAAGAAGAGAAAACTTGTTTGAAGAGAAATATTTATTTTTGCACTAATTACTATAAATACTAAAATCCAGTGGAACAGATGACATCTCTCTATAGTGGCATGAACATAACAAGAAATGTAGAAAGAGAAGGATACACTTATACTCCAAGTTGTAACACCACAGTTCTGAGTGTGTTACAGTTCGTTGCAGGGCAGGTCTGGGGGTCAGGGAGGGAAGCCATTTTCAGAATATGGCTCCCTGGGCGGGTGCTAGCCCTGCCCTTCGTCGCTGGAGTTGCTCAGTGCTGATGAAGCCACTGAGGAATCTAAGGCCCTTTCTGCCAGCTGGCTGTAGGTGCCTCGGGAGCAGCCCTGCGTTGGCAGGCTGGAGCTGCGACTTTCCAGGCCGCGTTCCCTGCGCCTGGCTCCTGGCACAGGCGGGAGTGGCGCCGGCGCTGCCCCTGCAGCAGGAGCGCTGCCGGCACCGCAGCCTCGGGAAGGGCTGAAAGGAGGTGTGGGAGGCCGAGCAGCAGAGCCTCCTGCTCCTCTTCCCAAGTTAGTTAACAACTCCCGTTCCAATACATTTTTCATCCCCAGAGTAGCCAGTCACTTGCGGAAACACCTGCTTTTGCTGTTGTCCAGTTAGACTAGATGGCATTGCCCTGTGGCCAAGCTTAGCTAGTACGCTGTCACATGGACCACACAAATCTGAGGCTTTTGTTCTAAAAGAATGGCATTTTTATTTCCTATATATTCTTCTGTTCTCAGCTTTCACCCTTAAGAGTCTGTTTTTATTCTTGCCAACAAAAACATGCGGAGGCAGCAAATCCAACTTTCTCCCTCTTTGTGCCTAAATCCAGGTTTACAGATAACTGCATGGCAGCCACTTCGTCTCTGCAAATCCTTCCAGTTCATGTTTCTTTGATTTTTGTTTGTTTGTTTTTACTTAATGATATTTCCCATGAAATAATATGACAGCATAGCTCAAGGTTGCTGTGTCTCACTGTATCTCCCTCAAGTACATGCTGAAGATGAAGTAGTTTAGAAAGAGCACATGAAGAATATGAAATCGGTGGTCTGCAGTTTCTAGAATCTAGGCCCCCAGCCTGGCAGTAGGATTAATGTGTTAACCACTTCAGCTGCAGTAGCCCCAGCTCCATAAATACATTAGCCATCTCATCAAAAAGCATTTCTGATGTGTAGCCTGTTTTGCATTACCCTTATTGAAGAAATGTCAGAAAATCAAATTATCTTTTCTTGAAACCTACCATTACTGTTTTAGACATAAATCTGTAAAGACGAGGAAGGAAGCTGGAGAATGAAGTTAGCAGCTGAGTTCACTGTCATATGGGATTTTTCAGATTTAGCAATACATGACTGGAATTATTCCATTTGCTTTTCAGGCTTTCCATCTATGCTGTTAAATGTAGTTTTCTAAACCAGACAGCATAGGAATGAAGTACATTTCATTTGTGTTGGATGATTCTCATCTTAACCACTAAAAAAAGGGGAACTGATTGAAGAGAGTAGTTAAAGGAAACAGGTTCATATGTGTGGATGAAATGAGGGAGTTGGTTTTGCTTACTTAGAGTTTTATTGGTGTAAAATTAGCAAAAAGATACTAAAGAATCTGGAAGAGTGATGAAAGCTGCAAGAGCAAAGGGCAGGTCAGAAGATATGAGGAAGTTTAAAGGGGAACAGTACAAAGAGTCGGTGGGGGGATGAGAAGGATGGAGTTTTGCTTAAGGGGAGGAACACAGGGCTCTAGTTAGAACTACCTCAAGGCAAAAAACAGCTGCTGAGGTTTTATCCATGCCCTCCCCAAAACAAAACACTTTGGTACCTTTTCTCCTGTGAGGTTTAGAACTATTTCACTGGAAAACATTTTTGTTAATTAACAAAAAAAAAAATGCTTAGTCTTTTTCTTGAGAATATGACATCTAATAGAAACACCTCAGGTTCTAGGAACTGCTGTGGTAGGATTTCACCACCTGAGCATTTTATTACTGTAAACAGATTACTGGATGGTTTCCTCCCCTGTAATTTGTTTCTCCTGGTTAACACTTCCTGTTGCCTTTACCTTACAGACTGGTATTTCAAGCACTGCCAGCTGAAGCTGTAGTTCACTTCGTGTGTGTCTACTAACTATTATTTCCGACACGCTGGAAAGTTTTCTTTCAAGTACATGATTTTAAAGTGACTCTGCATAGGTACTGAATCAGCAGTACTGTTTAGGACTAATTTTTTATGTTGCTAATTGCAGCCTCATAGTTTCTGCCACATTTTTTCCCTTAGGTAAGGGGATATTGAGTTTGTTACACTGTTTAGATTTACACTTTGCAGACCAAGCAAGTCTTGCTGTCAGCTATTTCAAGCTACATACATTCTTTGTGTATGTAATAGCATGGATAGGAAAATACATAAAGTGTGCTTATGGGTATGCATTTTATTGCATTATAGATAACACCTAGCATTCCTCTATGGCCACTAATACATTTCTCCCATTTTAAATCAAGAGAACAGGTGAAAAGTCATAGACAAGTTAGCCCTCTCTACCTGGTTATAAGCGGGTAGTGTAAACTAATTTGAATTTGATAGTCTAGTACTTCCTTAATCTGTTTAGGTTTGAAATAGATAGTAAATTGTCTTGATACAAACAGTAAAGTAACATTTAAGAGATAAAAAATATTCCCCCTGCTACAGTGCTGTCAGATTTCATCTTTGTATGGATGTAAACCCAGAGCTGAAAATCCTGTAACAGCTGAACCTATTTATGAAGATACAATTTATGTACATTGATATAAAGAAGCAAATTTGACTGTGCATATGTTTAAGGCAAATTCTGGTTAATTAGTTGCACAGAATTTAGGAGAAGCCAATAGAGAAAACTATATTATGATATAGTCTCTTGTTACTTCAGAAGTGATTTACATAGAGAAAGTAACCCTGCCTCTGCTTAGTGAATTTATTACATATTGTCTAGTCTAACAGCAAGAGCTGATATTTTATATTCTTCTGTGCTCTGTTTTACAAAACTCCTTGCAAGTCAACTAGTCTCCAAGGCTTTTTTTTTAACCAAGCAGTAAGTTGATTTTTTTTTTTTCCTGCCACAGTGGTATCTAAGTTGTCATGACAAGAATGAGTCAGTGTGTCATTGTGAATGCACTTGTATTCCTAATGAAGTTTATATTGCAAGCCAAGGATTTTGTACAATCTTTCAGGTCATTTTAATAATAGAGTGGAGTGGTCAAATTCTTACGATGGTGTTCTGGACTGGTCCTGTTCTAGTGAAGTGTAAGTGATTTTTTTCAATGTTTGAGACTGACTTGAACATTTTCCCTAAATAGCTGTATTAAAGGCCTCCCATGGCATACGTAAGTCAACTTTGATTGTTGTGTCTTAATCTTGGAAACATGCATAGTAAATATATTATGCCAGAACTTCAGTCAGCATTTTGTAGATTAAATAAAAGCTTAATCACAGTAACATTCTGGGTGGGATTTGTAGTGATGCAAAAAACTCCTGCGTTTTTCATAATACTGACTTCCAGAAAGTACTATTTTTGATGACAGGATGCATTCCCTTTCATTAAACACAGTTTTAACATGCAGTTCTACTCCTCTGTTGTCAAAGTGTATCTCCATTTTCTTAATTTCAATCATATTAGCCAGATAACCTCAGAGGAAGGTATTATACTTGGGAATGCTGGTAACTTATTTTTGCAACAAAGACTGAACATTAAAAGAAGAAACTCCTTACCATTGTAGTTGGCTGTTTCGTGCACACAGCGGTGTAGTGACACGCCAGCCTGTAGCACGCAGCAGCAGCGGGGTTATGATACTGATCGGAATTCACATGTACAGAGGCTATACCAGCACAACTGTTGACATGGGTACTGATGCAGATCTTCACGGGCTTCAATAGTTCATTATATGATAAACACCATGTAAAAATCAATGGTTCATAAGTACCTTATGGTTAAATTTGTATTTTATAAGGTTTGTAGATTTTTTCTGGGGAAAAGCAGACTTTTGAAATACGTAACTTCTGTGTTAAAGATGCATGTATAACTAGAAAAAAAAAATCTATGCTTAACTTGATAATGAAGGAATAAATACTACTAATGCCAAGTGTGTTGATGAACTTTTTTTTTTTTCTCTAAAATATTGACTGACATCTGCAGTATTTTTAGAAAGAGGAGGCATGCTTGGGGTGCTATGTAAGACTTCCTCAGACAACTGTGATGGCAGACAGGTAGTGTCCAAAAGCTTGAGCTCCAACTAGGTGAAGAGAAACTCCAAAAAGTGCAGGCATGCCTTTTGCAGTGCTGTCTGAGGGAAAAGCTAGTTCCAGAAAGAGTAATCAAAATAGGTAATGGATGAAACATACCAATAGGTGAGAATGAGATGCAGAACTAACATCTCTTTCAGCAATAGGGCTGCCGTGTGAAATACCGCTCTTTCAGTGTGAGCTGGTGTGCTAAGCAGAGGTTTCTATAGGTGCTAATCCCATTGCACTGGTTAGAATGTGGGATTGCTTAACTGAGTGAAAAAGAAGAAATCTACTTAAACTGCTCTTCAGAACTTCACTCTAGGACTTCACAAATAAAAACTACTCCATGAAAGAGAGAGGGAAGTACAAGACTAAAACAAATCCCTGACCTTTAACTAAACCCCAAGTTTATCCCTGCAATGGGGGTAGTGTTACCTGCTAGCAATAACCCAAGGTTTGCAGCCCTGCATGTTACAGTTCCTTAAATTTTTACACTAAGCATTTAAAATACTATTGCCATAACTTTCCACTAGTTTATAGTCCAGTAGATATATAGAATGGGATCACCAATACTTATATTTCGGTGTTCTCCCCATTTTCTTCAAGGGGTGAGGGGGGGAAATGCTGGCATTCCTTAATACACATAGGAGATAAAATCCCAAAAGAAGAAAGCAGCTGCACAACAGTCTTAGCCACATCAACATTCCCTTCAAAATACAGAACTAATAATTATGTGCAGTTGAAGCTGTAGGTTCCTGTGAAGTTCTCCTGTCCATAAAGATCATATTCCTTGTACAGTACATAGTCCTTCAGGCAGTTTGGCAGTGGAAGGAAGGTCATGAAGATAGGACGACGGAGACGCAACCGACCCATGCATGCCCGTATCTTCAGACGACAAAGATGCTTCAGAGAGCGAGGATTTGCTAGAAATGAGAAGGTGAGATTGATAAGTTATTTATTAAATCTTGTTCAATGTAGTTATTTAATACTCTTCTACCTTTCAAAAGCTTTGTTCCTGATTTTGCTGCATATTTTGTGAATAGACAGATGAATGGGACTGATCCTGGACAACCGGACATGTCAGGATCTAGCCTTTTTATCTCCACCCTTACATCTCAGTTATAATCATTGGCAGCTAAATCAACATACTTTGTTTCTGTCAAGTTGGCTAAATGGGAGTTAATGGAAATTTAAATAGTAAAGTTTGGGAAATGTACTTTAACCCCAAGTAACTGGTGTCAGTTTTTTGTCAACCTGAAGAAGCTACTAGAAGTAGAATTTTGAGTCACTATTTAATCTATGTACAAGCAAAAAAGACACAACATTAATCTAGACTGGAATTAAATCACTCAAAAATAGTGATTTATTATATTTGTTCCATCAACTTGAGGCAGGGGGAAAAGCTTTTCTTCTCTTGAAGAGGATCGTGGGTCTATGTTGTAATTAAAGTTTCCAAGTGCTCTACATAAATTGTGCAGTTACTATCAGAATTCTGAGAGTAACTTAGTTTGAATCCTACACAGACTGATTTTTAAGAGGTCTTTTACTGTCAAAACATAATTTTTGGCCTGCCAAGGGTCAAGAGAAGCATCAGTCTGAGGTAAAGAAAATGAAAACTGAAATGCTATCACCAAAAAGGCCTTAATCCTGAGCCAGTTTGTTTGTCATTTTTCAAATGTAAACATCAGGTACGTACTCAAAATCAAACTGATGTCTGGCCACAGTTCCTGTTCCTTGAGAACGGCTTCTAGCTTCCAGCAGATACTAACGTGATCGACATAATCCAGCATGACTCGCACTACTTTCCCAGATAAATGCTTCAACCACGACAAGGTTATCACTTCACAGAACTGATAGAAACAAAATGTTTAATAGGATAATATTCAGTACTCCTGTAAATGACTTACACCTCTGCAGGACAAGAGCAATTAAACAACTTCAGCAGAATAGCAGGAAGAGCGAGTGTTCTGTCGGTCTGAGGAGCTTTAGAGGTGCTCACAGTTTCCATTAAGGCTCACTAGTAAAATCTGAAAGTCTAAGAGATTGTTATTTTGTTATAGATCCAAAAATGAACTTAAGCAGCTGTATATTTGGTAACTGAGTGCTTAAAAAGAAGTGCTACCACTCCCTAAGTGAAATTTAGACCTGTGTCTCAGCATGCTGAACAGGAGGACCCACCAGCCCAGTGCCTACCACCCCCCACTATCTTTAGGTTCAAGAAGGGTTTATTAGGTTCGAGTGAACTCTGCAAGCGGTAAACTGATGCTGCTGATGGGTGTCTCCAGGAATCACTTTAGGTTGGCCCAGGTTTGCTAACTGCTGCTGAGTGCTGCCATAACAGCCCCAGGGGGTCCCTACAGCAGCCTGCCAGTACCAGCGTGTGGCTGCAAGCCAGCCTGCAAGTCCCTCCTTCCACAGCAGGGACAGAACTGCCCTGGAGAGCCAATTCTGCACTGGTCATTAGCCTATCATTAGCTATATTTCCACAATACAGAAATACTGTTTATTCAGTCTCATGAATCAGGCCTCATGGCAACACCTATTTAATTTTAAAGCCTTGTCTATTCTGGCCTTTATGTATAAAAACTCATATAGTTTCAAAACTTATTTTTCTGACACTGCATTAAGTACATTTTCATTTAGTTTTAGGAAGGATACTGGTAGTAAAACAACATATGAAGCCATCTGATATCTTTACCATTGTATCTTTGATAACAGTAGAAGTCCATCCATCAGTCACATACTGGGAATGTGAACTGTTTCCCTGAGGGCAATCAAAGCAGCGGTGGACATCATACCCGTAGCTCATCAGCATTCTCAGCATGACTTCATCTTTCAGAGCATACTGTAGAGCTGATGGAAAATGCGTTGTATTCACTCTGCAGAAGTAATTGACATTAGCCCCGTGTTGGAGCAGTAGATTCACTAATTCATAATTTCCCATTCTCAAGGCTATTTGGAGACAGTTGATGGGATCTTGGTTTGGCAGGGCTCCAGCATTCAACAGCAACTGTGTTGAACAGATATCCCCATTGGAAACAGCAAAGTACAACGCTGATTTCCGGTGGTCATCGTAGCCTTTGCGAACTCTTTGATCCAGCATAAAATTGGCATCAAACCCAGATTTGAGGAGAAATTCAAGGCACTGAGGATGTGCTCCTGCTGCTGCTGAGTGAACTGGACTTATCCCACTTTCTTTAATGGCGTCAAAATTAGTAACCGGAACCAAATTTTTTAGGGCTCTGAAGAATTAAAAAAAAAAAGTATCTCTCAATCTTAAACATACTGGTTCACTGAGCTGAGAATTTCAGTTTCTCTGTGTTGCTGGGCTTCAGGATCCATCATCACAGAATCATAGAGTGGTTTGGGTTGGAAGAAACCTTAAAGACCACCTAGTAGTCCCAACCGCATGGGCAGGGCCCCCTTCCCCCAGCCCAGGGGGCTCCCAGCCCTGTCCAACCTGGCCTGGAACCCTTCCAGGGAGGGGGCAGCCACAGCTGCTCTGGGCACCCTGTGCCAGTGCCTCATCACTCTCACAGTGAAGAATTTCTTTCTTCTATCTAATTAAATCTACCCTCTTTCAGTTTAAAACTGTTACCCCTCATCCTATCCCTACACTCCCTGATCAAGAGTCTCTCTCCATCTTCCCTGTACCCCCTTTAAGCCCTGCAAGGCTGCTATAAGCTCTCCCCAGAGCCTTCTCTTCTCCAGGCTGAACACCCCCAACTCGCTCAGCCTGGCCTCGCAGGTGCTCCAGCCCCTGCTCATCAATTTATATGACTGTATGCAATTGTCTTAAACTACCAAATCAGTACTGTGGCATGCTCTACCTCTGCATTGACTTTAATTGCTAACAAATTGCCAGTCAGCAGTGGATACTGACTTTACACCTATTACACATAAAATATGATTTTATTACTCTGTTATTCATGAACAACCCCATTCCTTGCTAGAGGAATAAAGATTCATTCTCAGTAGAAGCTTTTCCTGAATGTCAAGAGCACAGTGTTACTTCTTATTCTATAGGAATTAGGGAATTAACAATATATTATAACATAAATACATATACTATGTAATTTAATATATACAATATGTTTAAATATTTAATATATAAAAGTATTAACATAGGAATTAAGAATCCTCAGATTCTTAATCACAGTGCAACATTCCTAGTATTGAAGACTTGTTTATCACTTCTTGGTTATGATTTTAGCATAAATATCTTCCAGTAACTCACCTGTGTTTAAAATAGGGATAATCCTTAACTCCTCAATCAATTTCTTTATTCAGTACATTTACTTTCCTGTGATGAGGTGGAGCTGAGGCATACCCCAAAAAGAGTGAGGATGTCCCAAGAACCTCAGCATCAGACTGGACAGTGTTACTATTTGTGACAAGTGGGGAAATACTACAGGAATTAGTATATTCATCCTAAAATGATGAAGATTTTATCTTGACTGGTGTTGTACATTCAGACACAGAAAACTCATATTTACACAGTCAAAAAAGAATTCCTTCTACAAGGCTACAGATTTGCTGCCTACTTTGAATATGGTAGGATTAGCAAAATTAGTATTTCTGGTGTCACCATTATTCAATTTTTAAGTATATTAACTTACAGAAAGTGTCCTCTATATGCAGCTCTGTGGATTGGCAAATGACCAGAGTGCTTTGGTACATTGGCATCAGCCCCATATTCTAGTAAAAGACTCAGAGAATCTGGATTTCCTCCTCCTGCTGCTTCAAATAATATAGAAGCACAATCCATTGCCTGTGAAAGAACATCTGCACCTGGAAAGAAGCATCAAGGATTTTCTCAGTAGTCACTGTAAATATCCAGGAGTAATTAATATCGCCATCCCCCCAGTGACACAGTATTGTGAATTCTATTGTTCACCAACTAAAACCACTATGGGCATAAACAAGAAGGTCCAAATTGCTTTGAATTATAATACATTTGAATTATAATACAATTATACAGTAAGACTTGCTGCTAGAACTGGGCAAGCAAGGGGTTGGGTATGTATTCATATAGACAATTGTTTTTTGGCTTACATACAACACATTTTAATTCTTCTACTTTACAAAGACCATACAGATATAACTAAATGTGAGAGAACCAGTATCAAAACAGTTCATACAATCCAGTTCCAGCTCTGCTGAGCCATCATATAAAGCTCCCCACCATAAATGTCTTGTCAGGCCTTCTCTAAGGTGAGTCATCTACATGAGAAAACAATATTGCATTTAAGAACAATTACCACTACTCACTGAAACATTAATATATTATTTGAATATTATGAAAATGTAGTCTTTATCAGGCCTTTACTTAACTACATCACCTTGGTGCAGATAGCGTTTAATTTTCTTTACTAAGGAAAGCTACTTCTGCTGCTATTTCTGAAAGTGCTTCTTATAATAACCAGTTTTAATCTGATCACAGAATTTTCAGAAGACTAATAAAAATGTGTGTAAACAGGCTAACTACTTTAGAGGGAATATATCTATCTATATATATAACATAATTTAGATACTAGAACTCTTTAGGCAAATTTCAACTCTTGATTTGAGAGTCAAATTCATCAAATAAACTTAGATGTCATCCAAAAATGCAAACAAAATATCTCTTGCAATCTGCCAAATTTCACTGCAGTTTTGCAAGGCACTCACTGATGACTACTACAGTTTGCTACAAGTAACTAATATCTAAAAATCTATTTTCTATATGTTTGGATCTATTAACACTACAGGCTATATACTCAGTAACTTGGTAACAGTTCGTTTCCTTTCACTTCAGTAATAAGAAGTTTTGCCGGCTACTCTGCTAAGAACAACTTTTTGCCTCTGCATTTAGGAATAATTTTCTCTGTTTGTAGGGAGATTCACTTTGTCCTATTTGGGCTTTAAACATTTCAGTACTAACACACATGGCTTACAATTCTTACTCACTCGAAGAACACCATCACTGAACCTAACTATTACTAAATCAGTCTACTGAGCTGTCAAACAGAACCACAGAACATTTGAGGTTGAAAAGGACGTCTGGAGATCAGCCAGTCCAACCCTGTGCTCAAGCAGGGTCAGCTACAGCAGACTGCCCAGGGCAGTGTCCAGACAGGCTTTTAGTATCTCCAAGGATGGAGACTCCACAACTTCTCCGAGTGACCTGTTCCAGTGTTCAAACATCCTCATAGAAAAGTGGGGGTTTATGTTCAGACAGAATTCTCTAGGTTTCAGCTGGTACCCAATGCCTCTTGTCCTGTTACTGGACAGCACTGAGAAGAATCTAGCTCTGCCTTCTTTACACCATCCCATCAGATGTTTAGAACACTGTCAAAATAGACCCCCACCACCAGCATTTTCCTCCTGTAACGTCCTATATAATAGAGTCTCACCTTTTTGCAGTAAGAGCTCCATAATTTCTGTATGTCCGATCTGTGCAGCCAGTGCTAGAGGTGTGAGCCCATATCCGCTGCGAGGGTCAGGATCTGCTCCAGAACGAAGGAGAAGCTTCACCAGATCCTTCCTGCCTAGCCTGGCTGCCTCATGTAAAGCTGTCCTCTTGTGGACACACTGCAAATTCACATTTGCACCAGAATTTATCAGCAAGGAGGCAATCTCATACGAATCAAGTTTAATCGCTGTAAGACAATAAACCAAGTATCAGCCAGAATGTTATTCGAGACTATTCTGTGCACTATGGCTTTTGTTATGTGGCTGCCCAGGAAAGCTCAAGCTGTTCCTGGCACTGCTATTTATACAGTGAGAAATGTCACACTACACTGAAACATTTAACTAATCAACTTCCCTGTTCTTCGTTTCCAGGATAACATTAACTATACAAATTAGTATTTTTATGGTAGTCTCTTTTTCTCTCAGTAATCCTCTGTTGTGTTTGGTAGTGCAACAGAATGCCACTTTCCTTGCCACTAGATGGAGATCACAGACAGGGATTTGGTGCGGTCAGGAGCTGGGCTGCTCAAACAGCTCTATTTAATCTTCTTAAGCAGTTACTGTAATATGAAACAAAGTTTAAAATGACTGTGTCCTATGCCTTCTTAGCTTGATAAGCCTGATCTGTTAAGTCAGTCAGGATCTTAAAGGAGTAATTTGAATTGGCTCCAGTGGATGGAATGAATAGGCAACACCTCTCCCTCCTTCTCTTTGATCTTCCAAGGCTGTATAGGGTAGAACAGTGAGTGCCTTTCACCAAGACAGATTAGACAGAGAAGCTTCATGGGCCACAGCTGCTTGAAATACCATTGACAGCATGCTCTAACCTGTGATGCCCCATTATCTGTAACCTACATGGCTCCTTCAAATAAATCCCATGCATCCCCTTCTTGGGGGATGGTGCATTTTAATATAGTGCACTTCAAAAGCGCTAAGAACTCTCCACATCTTTTCTAAACAGGTGTCCCCTGATGAGAAGCTTTAGTCATTTCAAAAGGATGGACTGAGGGTCCCACAGATGGTTGGTAGGCTTTTTCCTCTAACAATAGTTAGGACTCAGTAAGAAAAATAGTATCATAGCCCAAATTGAGGGAAGCAAATTAAATGAACATAGAGCATTTTGGAAAAAACTATTGGCAAAATATGGTTCTTTACAAATCATGAATTACAGTTCTTGTGCATGATCAAATTAAAATGGCAATCCCACTAAGAGTGGTACTAGGTATGGGACCTTCTTCGTCTGCGATTAAAAAAATTCAAAGAGAATTGGACTGAGAATTTAGGCCTGTCTAGCTTCTTCACTTGTCATACTTGGATTAATGCCAGTAATGTCTGAATAGGGACAAACACTGTTTCATGCTCTATCTGATGCAGATAAATCAGGCTGGTTTGCTATAGTTTTTCAAAATCAAAACCAATTACCATGGTTTTTGGAGAAAGAGAAGCTGATGCAATGAAAGAGATATCATGTAAGCAGAGAATATAAATGTTTTATGCCTGCAGACACGAAGAACAGTAATAGCATGAAGAAGCCATGACCTGGTTATCTGGCACCACTGCATAAACGATGCCATGAAAAGCAGAGGAAAGCACTCTGCACTTCATGGAGAAAGCGATTAGATACTTTGGGGAAAAAGATGTATGTTCAACCTGAACCTCAAACTCTGCAAATGAGGGATGGAAAATAGTAGGCATCTGGAGCTACCTGCATTGGGTCAGACCCTGGGGAAAGATTTTTTAGCTTCTCCTAGTTCTATGTTTCTCATACTTCGGTACACCAACAGGATAATCCTTTAACTAACAAGTAATGCTAAGAGCTTTGTGGTGACAGTCCCTAACTTGGAATTGTCAGTTCATTAAAAGCTTTGATATCATCTAAGAAAAACAGACAGGGACAGACACAATAGTGAGATTAACATTTTTTTGCTCCTTATAGCAAAATATATTAGATACTGATTTGAAGTCAAATATGTCAAATTGAAACCTAAAATATGTAACTATAATCTCACCTCATTCCCTCACCTCTTCACCCCTAAGTAAGGTATTCACCTATAACTAAAGGAGAATCTCCCTCTTCATTCTTAACATTGGGATTGCAGCCATTGAGCAGGAGAACGCGGACATTGTCTACAAAGCAATTTCTTACTGCCACCAAGAGAGGCGTTTCCCCTTTTAGAGTGGTCTGTTCCCACGAAATGGCACAGGAGGCTGAAATACAGAAAAGTGGAACACATTTGAAGCTGGATGGTTCATCAAACCCAACTTTGTAAAACTTTTTGGTGGAAAACCATAGGGACTCTGTACCTTTCAAAGTTATTTCAAGGATGTTCTTATTTAGCTGTGCTGCAGCTTCATGCAAAGGAAGCCAGCCATGCTGATCTACTTCTTCAAAAGCAGAACTGTGCCTCACTAACTTCGCCAAGGCCTCTTCTTGGCCTGTGATCAGACAGACACTCATCATAAAACAAAATTCAGGCAACTAATACAATGAGTGCCATTTATCCCACCAGTGTATCTAGAATAAACATCTTGCTTTGTCAAAGCAGTTTTTTCTCAGAGGGTGGTTTACATGAATGGCACAGTCAGTGACTGACATGGACTCTTAAAGCATTTTGAATTATACATTGAAAAAAAACTTATGATAGTATGACTAAAATATTTCAAATACAATCCCGTCATGAGCAATAGTGAGTGAAAGTTAAATGTAGAAACAGGTGTCCTAGTGAAAGTGTAGGAAAAAATATTTAGGCTGGCAAAAGTAAAATAAAGGTGATTTAACAGGGATGAGATCTATCTCATTCTTTACACTTCTACTAACAATCTTATTGGCTCTTTAATCAACACAAGTGATTATGTTTTCAATTTTATATCTCATCAAGAAACAGCAGAACTTTCATGACTGAAAAGCCTGTTTAAGTAGTTGCCTGGTTTCTGCTCTTGTTTTTTATCTCATTGTTCCTGGGAGGAGGCAGTCTTGCCCTTCTGTTACAGTTAGAACTACAGGGTGAGGGGACAGACTGCTCTCAACCTCTGCTACTTAAGTTCTCCTACATATGGAAGAATTACATATTTATAAGGCCAGACAGCAAGTGTAACAAGTGTTCAGACACATTCCCCATGATGTATGGAACATTTATAGCATTTGCTTTTCCAGAAAAGACTTGGTTTCTTGATTCCTACTCCACTAAATATCTCTGTAAGTACTATGACACACAGAAGCACCGGACTGAAGGTTTCCCCATGGCCAGACAACTGTAGTCCTTATGCTCATTGTTTAGTTATCTCCATGACTCAGTACAAAGATTGGTTATACCACAAAAAGTAAAAGTTTCAGAGGAGCAGACTAAGAGCATCTCATATTGGAATACACTAAAGTCTGGCAGTTAAGCAACAATTCTGGAACACTCTTCAGGTAGCAAAAGGATTTTCATCTGGGTATCTCACAAAGTGGCAACTGTTTTTATGAAGTATTAATTAACTAGGGGCCTTGCCATCCTGTTGCTTATTTTACAAGAAAGGCCTGGTGTTTTCACCCAATGCCAGGAGATGAAGCACTGGAATATCTGCGAGAAGTCACCTTTGAACCCATTCCATTACCATCTTCTTATCTAATAAGTTAGCTTTTGGGTATTCCGTTTTTAGTTGCCTTACTCCTTCCAAGACTATATAAAGAAAAACTGCACTTAAATCAGGTGATCACACACCTAAAATGTAGGCACCGCTCAACAACACAATATCCAAGTGATTCCTAGGGGTATAGGCTTAGTGTGGTGTATTTGTACTTAACTGTCCGAATTGCTGCAATTATCTTTCCATGTTCTTTACTTGCAATATGCTGGAAACTGCATAAACAGAACAAAAATGAAGTGAGAAGTAAAAATAAATGTGAAGTTCAAGATACAAATATACCATAATTTAAAATATGCAAGTCTGAACTACATGCTAGATTTCTGTAAGTTACATGGGTTTTGTCAAGGTTTAACACATGAAAACACTTCTTTTCCCTATCACTATAAATATTGGATTTTTCACACAAAGGCCAACAATTAAATACTAAAATGAGGGAAAGCTACCATACCAATCTATTTTTATATCACATACTTATTCTTCATAAAACTTTGCATGCATTTAGATATTGATGTAAAATGCCACCTGAAAGTTTCATAAATTCCATATTTTTGAGGAAATAGGGATACTTTTTCAGGGAGAACTCCGAACAAGTGAGCTACCACTGGTCTCCAGTATCCATGAGACAAGGTCAGAGCAACACAACATACAGAGTCACAAAGGAAAATAAGGTTACCACACGCTTACAATAATGCCAAAAAAGAAGTAATAGCTTATTACCTTTCATCCTTTGTTGCACTGCCACTTGTTTCAATTTTATGCCTATCTCGCAAGCTTTCCTGAATAGCTTGTTGGGTGGGGATTTCATCATCAGAATCATCATCAAACATGTATGTAGAATTATACATGGCAAATCAGCACAACCTGAATTACTCTTCGTAGGGAACCACTGCTTTTTAATTGGAAGCAGATGTTAAATCTTCAGGTTAGAACTGGAGTAATACAAATAGCAATCACTGTTTAAGTATTAAGAGAAATAAAGCACAGTTCATAATAAATGAATTGGAACTTCCCCATCTCAAGCTCCAGCCTTCTCCCAAGTATTTAAGTTTGAGCTGCAAAGAGTTATTCTATTCAGAACGGAGTAAAGGTTTTCTATTCCAATAGAATGTGCTAGCTTTTATCTCCGTTCCACAGGCTGAACATACAGAATAGCTACTTGTTCTGGTATTACTTATCAGAAAGCAACAAACGTAAGTAAAACTTAGTTTTCGGAGAAATAGTCATTCCCTCTTAAGTCTTTTGGACACTCAAATATCATCACAACTGTGCTCTGATCTTTCCTTAGGAAAACATGTTCAGTAAGACTCAGGATGGTTTTTTAGTTTGTTCACAGAGGGCCTGGAAGTGAAGGGCAAGTGAAGGACATGAAATTTTTTAATAATAGCTTTTGTTCAAACTGCTTCAACAAAGATATAATTAGGGCCATATCTTGTAGTCAGGAAAGTATTGGAGATCCGCGCTATTATGTGTATCAGCCTTCCAAATGAAACATCATCAGACTCAATGCTTGAAAAAAATACCAACCTTACCATCTTGTGTACATAATCTACAGCCATTTAAAACAGATAAACTCACAATTCTGCATTCTTCATCACTGCATGCATGTTCTTCTCTAATGCTTGTAAGGGATATACATAAAAAACTGCAACAATATATATCCAAATGTAGGAAGAAATAAAACACACTGGTGCAGCCACAATGGAGTTAATAATTAAATAATTGTTTTTTAAAAGGTTAAGAATAGCACTAGTTTAAAAAAAAAGTTTGCCAAATTGAAAGGGTTCAATCAAAAATGCTTTTACCCATTTAAGATTGTAATACTAACAATGAGGCATAGCAATATATCCCACTGATACTGTCTAGGTCTAAATGTTAAAATTTAAGAAGAAATCATAAAAAATAACAACCACATCAATCACCAAGTAGAATAATGTGTGTAAATGTACACTGCAATATGCATAAGCAGTCATACTGTTCTTTTGTACATTCAGCTACGTGCTATTATAAACACAGATGCTTTGTTAGGCTCAAACCTCTCATCTGTTTTACCTTATCAAAACTACCACTTCTATTTTTCAAGAAAGTTGTCCTGAAAAGAACAACAAAAAATACAGGACAAAGTAAAATAAAGTAAGTAAGTAAAACTGAAAGCAAATAAATAAATTAGCAAAATGATTGAGCATAGCAAAATGAAGTTGTCAACATGACACTTACAAAGTCTGGAATAATTCTAGAAACATCTTAAAGTTGAGCAGCAGTAATTCACAGCAAACCTGCATCATTTAGTTACCTGATCCACCTAATGTGTGATTGCAAGGCCTTGCTCTGTAATTGCACATGTAGCAAAAAAGAGAAATATATTAACAGACAAGTACATTTTAGGATTCCATGATACCTATCGTACAATGATTATATAAACATTTTAAATCTAGACTATTTATTTTTTGTAAAAATACTACTAGTTTTCCTATGCATTGAGAAAATACACTGGTTTTCCTCACCTTATGAAAGAGGGAAGACCTCACACTTTGAAGAAGTGATTATTAAGTTGAAAGTGATATTTTCAGGAATGAAAATGATCTCAGTAGAGCCTACGTCCATTAATAGCTCACTATAAATACCCGATCATAAGATACCCTGGGACTTTCTCCATGTTTCTTTCATATAGGTTAGTTATGTTTAATAATCTGACCTGACAAATGGTGTCAGCAAAAGAAGGAATTTTATCTTTCCAGTTTCTTTGTAAAAATACTCATTAAACATTTTTGGAATGAGAATCTGAGAACTATAAGTAGTAACTATTACATTATGGAAAGAAAATTCTTTAGTGCTTTCCCAAGAGAGTAAACTGAAAATACTGTTAGGAGCTTACTTAAAAGAGTAAGACAGCATAAAACCCCTAAAATCAGTAAAAGAAGACATAAACAAGCCCACAAAATCAAGAAAGAACTCTATTACAAATTACTGTGTGTTTCTGATTGCTTAATCACAATTCACGTGTTAATGTAAGTAGAAAAGCAAACAAAAGATATATAGAGTCTTTAAAGGGAAAAGTACAATTTCAGAAAGACAGACCTATGCTGAAAGCTTATGCTGGTGTACCACGCAATAAGCAGGGAAACTAAGGACATAGATGCCTAGTTATGGAATGAGAATTTAATGTGCTTTACTCCTACTGTATTTTATGCAGGGATCCTTACAAAGAAATGATGATGACTGAGTCTGAATGCAAGGCAGAAATAGTACTTTGCTAGAGGAAATCTAGGAAGAATGCTTGAATAACTTTATTTTATTGTGCTTTGGGGTGTTTTTTTGTTGCGTTTTTTTTTTTAGGAAAACGGAAGTGCAGAATCAGTGAAAGGATAGAAACTGGACTGCCTCTCTGGAGCAGTACGGAAACAGGTAACATTTTATGGTAGGTGGTGATAAGGGAGATTTGATCATTTATTCTTCATGAAAACTATTTGGAAAAAAAAACTTACAAAAATCAGAAAATGTGAATTAGACCCTGAAGAGATTAATTTGCTGAGGAAGGCAGGCATCAGAAGTACCTACTACAGAGAGTTAAACAATTTCTCATACTGCAATCTTCGCTGTTGCTAAAACAGAACACAGACTATATATAAATCCAGACTGAAATTCCAAATCTTACTACCTACCAGCTTTCTACTCACATGATTCAGCACTCTTAATGTTCCAAGTTCATTAACTGTAATGTTTCTATCAAAGTGCAGACTATTTTAATTTTCCATTAAGATATATTTCATGATATTCAAGTTTACAAATCAGTAATATTACCAAAGGCTAAAATCCCAGCTGTATCTTTTACAGATTGTAAAGATGCTAATAGTAATACATACTTATTTAAGACAAAATATTGAGCATCATAAAACATTTGCATGCCCTCTTTTAATATAAAAAAGTCCAGATGTTTCTTTTACACAGTATGTTCCATTTCCTCTGTAAGCCAACAAAAAGAATAGGATCTTGTGAAGTCTGTATCTGAACTGCAAAGTCAGTCATCCAGCTGGCAGAGCAAAGCAACACCTCGCTTGATCCAGTGTTGAACTGGTTTATCAGTGTTAAGTGTCAAAGCAATGACGAAGTTCGTAGAAAGTCCAGTAGTAGATAAGACTCCTTTACGCTCGCTTGTCTTGTAGAGTGGGCAAACATATGCATTAGACTTCTTTATTTCTGATTTTGCAGCTTCAAAAAAAAACCCCAAAATAATATATTATAGTCAACAGATCTATTGATAGAAACATAATTTACATAGAACTATTAAGTATTTACAGTAACATCCTTAAAGCTAAATAAAAATGAAAAATTGTTTTGTGAGTAACAAAATTATCTGGCTTTTTTTTTTTATTATTTTCTTGTGTGTTTTGTTTTGTTTTTAAACCAAACTAATTTCACTGCAATTTGTTTTCAGGACTTTATGTCCTTCTGTGATTCTAACAGCTTTGTAATCATTCAAAGACACATTAAAATCTGAATAGTTAATAGTTAAAGCATAGTTTCTACATGAGCTTTTAACAGCTACACAAGAATTCTGGTCCAGCATCCACAGAACCTAACCTCAATTCAAGTCACCTGAGATCCAATGACACAACTCTGCAGGAACTCTTTGTAGCCCTGGACTGCTTACATGCAACTTGTGCAAAGTCTAAAATCATGCATATCTGAACAGATTCATCCAACCTCAAGAGAAAGCATAGGCAGAAAAGGTGAAAACTTTGTAAGACTGCCTATTAGCTAATAACATCTAAGTAGCAACAGCTGCGGTAAAAAGTCCTGCTTAAGTGAATAAATAAACACAGGTATTTAGAGCTCCTGACCAAAGAAAACAAGAATGATAGAAAATACCTTACTAGTATGACAGACAACTAGAATAGCAGCTAAAAATGACCTGATCAAACCTTGCTACATCATGTGAGGTAAAACACTGTGTCTCTATATCAATTAAAAGTTCTCCTTAACTTGAGTAGAGCCAGGAATTCAAGCACCACATTTCTCTTACCCAAATTAACTTTTGGGTTGAGTTTGGGCAGCACCCTAACATATTTATAAGTAATTCAACTAGCCCTTTCATCTAATTCATAATTACAAACATCTGTGGGAGAGAGACAGGCCTATTTCTCAGATGAGATCAAGCTAGCAGGCCCAATTTTTAATGTGAAAGTCATAGGTCAGATGCACATGAATTCTGTGCACATTTGGGTACTTGAGGGCAGGAGCATTGATCTTCTGTAAGGAAGGAATTCACTGTTGCAATTTCTTGTTGAATAGCTCACACTTCAGAGAAATTATACTCACTTGGCTTCATCCAAATGACTGGCATCATATCAAAGAGCACTTTGGGATATTGCTCAGCTAATATTCCCCTGGTGAGAGAAAGCAACAAAGTCATTATCTGTAGATTGGTGTTAAACCAAAGAGTGGTTTTGTGTGTGTTTTTTGGTTGTTGCTCGTTTGTTTTTTATTTTTTTATTTTCTTTACCATTTTCCATGCATGAAAGAGTATTTAATTTACTGTGTTACTTCAATAATATGAAAAGTATCACTTAAAATATTTAAAGAAATCTTGTTTGAGCACCCAAGAAAGCTTTCCAGAACCACAGTAAAACACTTTGTTACTGACTTGGTCCTGTCCCAGCGAGCTCCATCTAAAAATAATCCATGGATATAAACACCATCTTCTGGTGCAGTATCAGCAGTATCCTGAGGAATAACCTACAAGAAATAAGTGTTCCATGTTATTAAACACTCATAGCTGTTTGATTTTTGAGGTATTATGCCAATAGCCAATTTTTGGAAGATAATCCAAAATGAGAATAATATATTAATATATTGAGAATATATAAACTGGGAATAATATATTAATACCTTCCTTTCAGTACTACTTTTACACAAATATAAAGATAGGAGATTTCTGTGGGTTTGTTAATTACCTTTATTATAGATTATAAAATAAGGCTTTAATCACACATGTACTCTATAGGCTGTTTTCTTGAGTGGAGGTCCAGGTCCAATGATAGAACTACTTTTAATACACCTCTTTTACAGATGTTATTTAACATGCCTACCTTACCAAAGAATTAAATGTATGTCTTCAAATTGCAGCGAGTTAGTTGCAAAATGAATCTTCACTTCAGGATTTTCTGACTACATCTCATTGCAACACCAGGACTCAGATTAATAAAATATGCATTTACAATTCATCTCTACCTGAAATTCATATCCCAGAAGGTCAATAGGGATCCTGTGCTTCCTGGCATAGTTTTGCATAGCTCCAGTTAGGAAAGCTTGAGTAAAATAGAATCCCGACAGCCAGAAAACCGTGGGCTTCCCTAATTCATACCAATCCTGGAAAGAAAAAAACGACACATTTAATGGTAAGAAAGAGGCAAGTCCCATATTGCTTGACTGTTTTCTACATAACTGTACTGAGAAAATCTAAGCAAAATATATCACTCTTTTCCCAATGCTCCTATAATGGAAAGAACAAATTATATGAAAAAGTAGATTAAACAATTGGTAGTACTACCTCTTGTACCTTACCTGTAAAAATTTCAGCCTTTCTAGAAAATCTAGAATATAGCTCCCTAATGGTTTTAGACTTGGGTATGAACGTTTCGCCCAACTCTCAGGAACTCTTCCAATAAGTAGACTGCCACA